TCAATTAGAGATGCATAATAAATTCACGTCTATCAATAAGAACTATTCACAGAATTCTGAAGAAGCATAAATGGAAGCCATTTTCATTTCTGTTAATACACCATTTGCAACCTGTCGATTTACCCCGACGTGTAGTCGTCATGTGTGTACCCAGAGTATGCCATTGTTTTTGAAAACATTTGGAAAATCGACAAACTCGCTTTACAGCAATGATAGCAAATCTGCTAAATAAGTAATGACACTTGGTGACATTTAAATGTTTTTCCACAGCCAACCTACAGCTAACTGTCGGATTATATTCGTCTCCGTACTTATGTTCAAATATCTCAAAATCGGTGGGATTTAGGTATAGGGAATGCTTATACCAATGGAAAGAGAATTAACAGGTGCATCTACTGGCATTATAAAACACAGGGTGTTCTATTTAAAATAAGCGAGTTATTAAACTTTCAATTTGACACAATTGGTCCGTGTTTTTTAGACGCCCTGTGTAACATGCACCAACTTTCGAATATTCCAGATATTTGGACACGTTTTGGTATTGACCATCTAAAATTTCAGCTTCCTATCTTAAAAATTGGAGGAGATAGAACCGATTAAGTGTAGGTATGTTTTTTTCAAAAATTTTGAAAAAGTCAAAATATTTCAAAAACTATTGAGTTTAAGGATAAAGTAAGGTTATGAAACTTACCTTAAAATTCGATGTAGAATCCAAAAATTAAATAAAAAATAGTACATTCCATTTGAAATAAGCGAGTTGACGTCTACTTCCGGTAGAACCGGAAGTTCCACGGCGACGCCAATATTTTCAATCGATAGAACATTAGGAGAAACCCCCGTACATAAATTTTCAGAATTCCAGTACGCGTAGTTTTCCAGAAACGTCTAATTGAAGGTCTATCTGGAACACCCTGTATATTGGTTGCTTATATGTAATGCAAATAAAATTTGGAACGAGTGTTACTGATTATGCAAATAAGATAGTTCAAGTCAAGTACACACTCTAGCCAGGTCACCGTCCGTAGATATTAAACTGCTGAAAACCAGAGTTGTCGTTTGGGCGCTAGTTGGTAGGAATCTGCCACGTAGCCTGCTGCATGATCGTCGGGCGTCTCTTAAGGTTGGAGGACTGAAAATGACTGTGGTTAGTATCGATTCTAAGGTCAATTTGGGGTGTGAGTTTGAAAGTTCCAGGATGATATTATTTTGGCCAATTTTTGAAAAAGTCGGCGAAAATTTTGGTGCCCCATACGCCTGTCAGCGGAGTCGGGGAACGAACTTTTGGCGGCAATCTTTTCTCCAGATGGTTTGGCGGGTACATTTTGGAAAGATGCGTGAAATTGTTGTCTTCTTTCCGCCCGCATGATCGGAGGTCTAAAGCATCTATGGCGCGTTAGCGGCAATCAGGGCTTCTTCATCGTCGTGGCGGGAGAATTTTCGAAAGATATGCGGGAAATATTGGAAAGATCGGTGAAATGTAGTTTCCCACTCTGCGTCTTCGGAGCGGTGTAGTAGAGTCTGTTGTGGTTTGTCTATGCTCAGATTCTATGTTGTTTCCTAATTTCAGATTGGCTCTTCATAATCCATCCCATTGAAATGATAAAAGAGAGAATAAGGCCTAATTTATGGATTCTGTCTGGTTAATGCAGCCAGCGTAGCTTGAAATGCATTCAGCCGACATAATTGATGAGTTATTTTATTCGTTTTGGTGTGATGGATTCTATCCACGTAATACATATTGTTTGCTTGTTAAAATATTTCTAATTTTTGATTAGCTCTACTTAATGAGTAAAAGAAAACGGTCTAACTCATTGATTCTGTCGGTTGATTGTAGCCACTTTTTTTTCTCGTCAAAACTAAAACATTGGTGAATTCAAAAAAAGCAACAATCTACAACTTTTTTAATGTTTTACAAAAATGATTTCATGTAAAGGTATATTTTTTAAAAAATCAACTTCAGTAATTTATTATGAATTATCAACTTTGACAGCGAAAGATTTAATCGTTAGATTTTCAGTCTCCTGGACCTAACTTGAATGAATTTTGTTCTTCAATCTTACTAATTATGTTGTCAAACACTGTTATTTAGACCATTTCTGTACCTTGTTTCTTAAATTCTGTTTAGTTTCAAAAACACGTTCACTATATTTGAATAATCAGATTTCTGAAGAAAGTTTACGTACTGACGAACAATTTTCAAAGTCACACTTTCACTTTCTGCGGAAGGATTCTCATGTGTTACCTGATGATTTTTTTTACTGTTAGTTTTAAAACTACATTTATCACTTGTACATTTACATTTCTGTCTTTGTGACTTTACACTTTCATTATACCTAGTTTCATAACCACATGCATCATCCCATTTGTTCATTTGGGTATCCAAAGTATCTTTGAGCATTAGCTGATGTATTTTTAGATATCTCTCTTGCTTGATTTCATAACTACAAATTACTCATTTGTACATTCGAGTTTCTGTAGGGGCTGTGCAATAACTGATACTTTATACTTAGGTTTATACACATTTATTGAACTTCTGCAGCTTTGTGTGATAACCGATGGATTTTTAAATATCTCTTATTTTCGTTTTCATAACTACAAGTATCATATGGATTTCCAAATGGCCTTTATGTGTTAAATATCTGGTATACTTGGTTTCATGACTACAAGTATCACATATGTACATTCCGATTTCTTAAAACTGTGCAATAACTGATGCGCTCAGAGACGACTTACATTTATTTCCATAACTACAAGCATTACACTTGTACTAGCGAAGAACGTTTGTGTGATAATTGATGAGATTTTAGAGCACTCTTATATTTGGTTTCATAAGTACATTCATCACACTTGTATACTTTGATTTCTGAAGGGTCTTTATGCCGTAGCTGATGCATTTTTAGATATCTGTTATTCTTGGTTTCATAACTACAAGTGTCACATTTGTACATCTGGATCTCTGAAGGGTCTGTGTGCACTAACTGATGACTTTTTAGACATCTCTTATACCTGGTTTCATAACTACAAGTATCACACTTGTACATTTGGAGTTCCGAAGGTTCCTTGTGCGATAACTGGTGCGCTCTCAGATGACATTTACGTTTGGTTTCATAAGTACAAGCATTACACTTATACATTATGATTTCCGAAGGATCTTTGTGTGACAACTGATGCACTATCAGGTCACTCTTATGTTTAGTTTCATAGGCACATGTAGCACATTTGTACATGTGGATTTCTGAAGAATTTTTGTGTATTAACTGATGTCTCTTTAGACCATACTTATGTTTAGTTTTATAGGTACAAGTGTGACATTTATACATTTGGACTTCTGAATGGTTTTTGTGCTTTAACTGATGCACTCTGAGATCGCTCTTACATTTACATTCATGACTACAAATATCACACTTGAACATTTGGATATCTGAAGAATGTTTCAGTGCCAACTGATGCCTCCTGAAACTACTTCTATAATTGGTTTCATAAGAACACAATCCACATTTATATATTTTGGTTTTTGAAGGATCTTTGTGCGATAACTGGTGCACTTTCAAAAGACTCCTACGTTTAGCTTCATAAGTACATTGATCACATTTGTACATTTTGATTTCGGAAGGGTCTTTGTGTTGTAACTGATGCACCTTTATATAACTCTTATGTTTAGTCTCATAAGTGCATGTGTCACACTTGTATATTTCAGTTTCAGAAGAATCTTTGTGTATTATCTGATGCCTCTTTAGACCAACCTTATATTTAGCTTCATAAGGGCACAGTTCACACTTGTACATTTCAGTTTGTGAAAGGTCCTTGTGCGACAACTGATGTGCGGTCAGATAACATTTACGTTTAGTTTCATAAGTACAAGCATCGCATTTGTACATTTTGACTTCCGAAGGGTCCTTGTGCGATAACTGATGCAATTTTAGATCACCTTTATATTTAGTTCCGTAACTACATGTATCGCACTTGTGTATTTGTATTTCTGAAGGATGTTTATGAATTAATTGATGTCTCGTTATGCTGAACTTATATTTAGTTTTGTAGGAGCAAGTATCACATTTGTACATTTGGATTTCTGAAAGGCCTTTGCTTTTCGTACAATGTATTAGTCCTGGAACAGCTTCATGTTTTAGACCATTGTTAAACTCATTTTTGCATTTACTATTGCACGATGGTACATCCAGTGGAGCAGTACTTATTTGAATCTCTTCTGTCTCACATTTAAGGATATATTCATTCTCTATTTCTCCTTCAGTTTCATAAACGTATTTCATTTTGTTCAACTGTTGCTCAACTGTTTCCTTATGTAAGTCACTGAAAAAATAAAAATTTGTTCAAATCAATGTAAAACACGAATTGATAATTTAAGATGCCTATACCTCTATTTTTAAATAGATGAGAAATCTGTGAGTAACTAAAGTTGCTGATTCTATTAATAAAAATAATAGTACAAGGTTCTGTGAAGTCAATAATAAATTAACTAAATTAGTCTAGGGTAATTTTTTTAGATCCTTCGTAAATTTTTATAAATATTTAGACCAAAATGCCCAAGAAAAATTCTTAAAATATAGAAATATTTCAAATTCAGATAAAATCTCTAACATCTTCAATAGTAGACATAAATACATACTGAAAATGCTGATGAGATTACTTTTTTCAAGTTCCATAATTTGGCAAAAAATAGCAATATCTTATAGAACTTCTGCTCCATAGCAATATAACTAAATGACTGCTTTATAAGTGTACCAATGTTAGTAAATTATAAAAATAAACATTTTGAATAAGATAGATATAATAAAAAATAATATTATTGGCGAGACAAAATGTCAGATTTTTTTTGTGTAGAAAGAGTGCAACTTCACTAGTTTTGACCGTTTTAACTGTGACTAGTAGCTTTGGACCACTTCTAGTAACCCCTGTTTGATAAAAATGTATGGGGTTCTCTTTGATTTTATTTTAAAGGTTATGCTTTGCAAATATAAATAAATTTATTTGCCGTCTTTACGTGGAGAATGAAAATAAAATTTTCAATACACTGAACAAATGTTTTCAATATATTGAGAAGCATATAAATTTTTAATAATCAGGATTTACCAAATGAATTTATAAATTTGCCAATTATTTCACACTTTTCAAACATATTTAATTATGAAGTGGTTAGATCAGAACTAAAAAAAGAAAATTTCACTTTACAAACATAGGAAGACATTACAAATAGCTACAGCAGCAAATGTGATACTAATAGTTTGTATTTTATACAGGAATATTTATAATGAACTATTTAAATTATTACCAAACTTCTAACCTTTTCCAGTCACGTCCTTCACTTTTTATGCCTACTTCTTCAGTTTCCGTCAATATTTCTCCCGTGTCTAGCTCTTCTTCAATTTTAACTAACCCATTAATTTTCTGTTCATCTTCTAATTCTATTTCATCGTTTATACGAATTTGCATATTAACATCTAAACAGGTCTTGATGAAAGTATTATGAATTCTGAGAGAATCAAAACATTGGTTACAAACGACTGGATCTTCAGAGACACCAATATCCTACAACGCAAGAATTTGTAAAAGGACTGGTATGGTTTTTAAGATCTAAAATATGTTTAAAATAGGAATTTACCACTTCTGGAATGTATCTATGAAACATTTCCAAGTCCACTTCACCAAATGGCACAAATTCTTCGCTAACCAGTTGCAAACATAATCGACATATTTTCTGATCATCTTCCATATTAATTAACAGCTTGTTATCGTATTCCTTTACATAAACTTCTTTTAAATCAAGGAAAGACATTGTAGGATTAATGTAAGAAACAATCTTGTTTTCGACATAAAGGCAAGTGCATTTAAAATCAAATGCAGAGTACAGTTGAGCAGAACAGATAGAACACATGACATGTTTATAGTTGTTGTCCAAGTTCTAAAACATTTTTTATTGAAAAAGTAAATTTTACTAGCAATATTACTATACAACATGTACGACTTACTAGATTCAGTGAAATTGTCTTTAGAATTTCCCTTGTCGATTCGTCTATAGCTCTAAAATTTCCATCGCTTTTGGTATTAGTGCAAAGTATGCAAAATATATTTTTAGAATCTTCCATTTTTGTATTACTTTTTTCTTCTCGGTTATCTAAACATAATAGAATTTACAACTTATTTGTAATTCTGGCCAGACAAGACCGATATCGTTCTGATTTAGTACAATTTCACTGCAGTGAATAAAAAAGCTAAGCTATTTATCTAATGTTCACTTTATTCAGCATAAAAAGAATACTATTACTGTGTTGTGTATATATAGTAAATAAATAAGAAACTAATGTTAATGTTCATAGGTTAGGTTAACCTTGTAAACAAGTTATGTCTCAGTTATAGTAGCTTTCAATTGTCTTGGACTTGGAACTGGTACTAAAGTGTTCCTCTCTAACCGTTCCTTCCAATTTAACCAACTGGAACACTTCCGAGAAGCATCAGTCAACATTTGAAATTCTTGTTTAACGATTCAAAAGTCAGAACCAAATATAAATTTAACTTGTTAAAGCAGAATTGCACAAATAATTATTGCAAATGAAATAATTTATGGCCGTAAATAAACTTTATTAAATATATTCGGAAATCTTAACCTCACATTATGTGGAAATAATTCAGAGTACAAAACTCTTGGAAAAAGTAGTGAATGGGGGAATAGGGAAAACAAACAAGAATACTTTAGAAACACAATGTTCCAATTTATTGTAACACAAAAAGTAAATCTGAAGTGTTCCCGAAGTACAATTTTGGTCAATTGGAAAGCAGCTTATTATCACGGACGCGAAATTTTAGCGACCCTGGTTTATTGTAGCCATAGCCGTATCGCGATACACTGATGCCAACATCTTGTGGTAATTTTCATTGTTGAAAAAATTTCCTCTATTCTCCCGAACAATTTTAAATTATTTTATATATATTGGTTTCTATTATTGTTTCTATAAATTGTTGACTGAGTACCCTCTCGATAGCAGAAAACGTCTACTTGGTTTCATTTCTGTCACTTTTTTAGTATTTCAGAAAAAAATTAAAAATCACTTTTTTGGGACCCTCTTTAAGCGGTTGTATCTTCATAGAGGATGTTCAAACGTGACTTTTTCATATGAAAGACCCAGGTTATTTGATCGACAAGGGATCACCCCCTGAATTTTCTCACTCTTATTTATTTACACCCTGTACGTATCACACTTGTACATTTATATCCCAAGGGTCTTTGTGCATGAACTGGTCTGACTTTAGACCTTTTTTATACTTAGTTTCATAATCACATGCATCACATTTGTTCAATTAGGTTTCCAATGTATCTTTGAGCGTTAACTGATGTATTTTTAGATATTTCTCATGATTGGTTTCATGACTACAAATTACTCATTTGTACATTTCAATTTTTGTAAGGTCTGTACAATAATTGATAATTTATACTTCGATTCATACACTTACTACAATTATACATTTGAACCTCCGAAGTCTTTGTGTGATAACTGATGTGATTTTAGAGCACTCTTATATTTGGTTTCATAAGTACATGCACCACACTTGTACACCTGTATGTCTGAAGGATTTTTATGCCATAGTTGATGCATTTTTAGATATCCTTTATGCTTGGTTTCATAACTACAAGTGTCACACTTGTACATGTGGATTTCTGAAAAGTCTCCGTGTATTAACTGATGACCTTTTAGACATCTCTTATACTTGGTTTCATAGCTACAAGTTTCACACTTGTACATTTGAAGCTCTGAAGGTTCCTATTGCGATAACTGATGCGCTTTCAGATGACTTTTACGTTTAGCTTCATAAGTACAAGCATTACACTTGTACATTATGATTTCCGAAGGGTCTTTGTGTAATAGTTGATGCACTTTCAGATCACTCTTATGTTTAGTTTCATACGTACATGTACCACATTTGTACATGTGGATTTCTGAAGAATGTTTGTGTATTAACTGATGTCTTTTTAGACTACACTTGTATTTACTTTTGTAGGTACAAGTATCACATCTATACATTTGGACTTCTGAATGGTCTTTGTGCTTTAACTGATGCACTCTGAGATCACTCTTGTACTTAGTTTCGTAAGTAAACACATCACATTTATACGTTCTTGCTCCAGATGGGTTTTGCTTATTAACTGAAGACAGCTAGAACTTTCCTTACAACACATATCTAGAGCAGCTTCTTCTTTTAGACCTCCGTTAAGCTCATTTTTGTTTTCACTATTGTATGGTGTGTGCAATGCAGCTTCAGGTTTGCTTATTTGAACTTCAATTGTCTCACATTTAAGCATATATTCACGTTTTATATCTGCTTCTTCTTTATAAATGTGTCTCATTTTATTTTGAACTGTTTCATTATGTGAACCAAGCAAAAAGGAATCACTAAAAAAAGATATTAAACTTTATTTAGAGAAACGAAATTACAATAGTGTAAAACATTTTTGTATAATTATACAGGGTGTTTCTAAAATAGGGTTCCAAACTTCTGCTGCGTTTATAGCTCATTAAAATAAACCAAAAAGTTCCTATTAACATGTGACGCTTAGGTAGTTATATGCCCTTAAAAGGGCTCAAACAAAACTGTTTTTTTAATACTTTTTTCCACTCACCACTTTTACTAATTAAACACTGCAAAGCTCAATTGACAGTTTATCAATATCTTAAATTGTTAAGCGTTGTGGCAACGTCAGTCTTTTATTTGCCATGGTAAACAGATTTTTATAATTTTTGGCCTAATAACTTAAAGAGCAGAGTAATTTTCAAACTCAATTTACTCGAAAACCATTGGAAATATCGATTTGGACAAAGATAATATTTTTTACGTAAAATTGTTAAGATTTTATAAATCTGTAGAGAAAATTGTAAAAAAATTGAAATAAAAAAAATTACGGGCCGAAAACCCCCTTCACCAACCTAAATGGGACGCATATGATTTGCATGTTCAAAAACGGAGTAGCCCATGTTATGTAACATAAAAAGTTATGTAAGACCCATAAATTTTTTTCTATTTATTTGCGACCGTTTTGTCAATAACAGAAAAAAAACAGTTTTGTTCGAGCCCTTTTAAGGACATATAACTTCCTAAGGGTGCGTTTTAGGGCACATGTTAATAGGAACTTTTTGGCTTATTTTAATGAGTTATAAACGCAGTAGAAGTTTGGAACCCTATTTTAGAAACACTCTGTATACATTATTATACTTCGAAATATTTATTTCATCACATTATCACCAACTTCCTCACCTTTCCCAATCATTTCCTTCACTTTTTAGGTCAATCTCTTCAGTTTTGATCAACATTTCTTCTGTCTTTAACTCTTTTTCAATTTTAATCAACCTTTTCATCTGCCGTTCTTTTTCCAATTCTGTTTCATCATTCCCATTCTTAATAAAGTTATTGCTAGGCTTGAAACCTGCCACTTTGTTGTTATTTATGTTATGAGTTTGCTTTTCAACATCCAAACAGGTCTTTATGAAATTATCATGAACGTTGAGTGAATCAAAACATCGTCTACAAACGACCGGATCTTCAGTAACGCCAATATACTACAACCGAAGAGTTTGTAAAGGTATTGGTGTAATTTTTGTGCTCAAAATTAATATTTACAACTTCTGGAATGTACCTATGAATCATCTCTAATTTTACTTCATAAAATGGCACAAATCCTTTGCTAACTAACTGCAAACATAATCGACATATTTTCTGATCATCTCCAATTTTAACTTTGTTATTGTATTCGTTTAAATAAACTTCTTTTAAGTCGACGAAGGACACTCTGGGATTAACATAAGAAATAATCTTATCCTCAACGTAGAGACATGTAGATTTAAAGTCAAACGCAGAGTACAGTTTAACAGAACAGGTAGAACACATGACATATTTATAGATCTTGTCCAAGTCCTGAAATATCTGTTTTATTGAAAGGGTAAAATGACTATTACAATTAGAAACATTAATATAAGACATGTAGAGTACAGTTTAATAGAACAGGTAGTACATACTACACGTTTATAGTTATTGTCTAAGTTCTGAAATATATTTTTTTTATTGAAAAACCGAAATCATTTGACTAGCAATGCTATGAATGTACATCAAGAACGATTTACCAGATTCAACGAAATAGTCTGTAAAATTTCTCTTGTAGATTCGTCTATCACCACAAAATTTTCGTTATCCACAATATTCATTATCCACAATATTCATGCAAAGCCTGCAAATTGTTCTCTTAGGATATTCCATTTATGTATTATTTTTCTTTTGCGTTATCCTCAACATAATATACAATTTATAACCAATATTATTTTAAAAGTTCTGAATCTGGGCCTATTCTTGCTTCTTCTTCTTCTTCTGTGTCACGATTTAAACTACTGCAGACAGTTACAAAAGAGTCGCTAAAAGGAGTACTATTTCAAGCACAAGCACACATTGATGAGTGACGTCATTGGTATCATAAATCGAAACACACCACAAACTCACAAACATTTGTATTTGTCCAGAATTTTAGTTTCATAGCTTAGATAGCGAAAGTATATTGTATTTGCTTCATTATATACCACATTACTTTTAGAAGAGGAGATCTATAGATATAAAATGAATTAGATAATTATTACACTGCTAATTGTCTTTATGCATGAATTTCAAGTTAAATTAGTATGTATTAAAGATATGTTACTCCTCGTATACGATGACCACTTAGAACAGCTTCTTCATCATACTGAAAATAGGTAAATCATAAAATTAAAATAAGTCTCATCTGAACTGCAGTTTTGACTCACTATTTTGTAGCAGCATCGAAAACACTCCGTTTACGTAACTACTTAATCACAGGTTACACATAGAATTGTATTTTTGTAAATCTTTTTTACTTATTCTACTCAAAAAATGTTGCAACTGTAATGTTTAAAAATATCTTCTCGCGTAGAACTGATTAAAATGGTTAACAATACAAATCACTAAAATCGAATTAAATGATAGAATTATAATACCGATAACGTATGTATATATGTATGTATGTATGTATGTCGGAGGGGTGGTGGAATTGTCTACCACCACGGCACTTAGGCCTTATTAGGCCCCTTGTACAACCTCCTTCATTACTCGAGTACTTTTCTTCAAACATCTTATTTACTACACAGATGGCTTGGTGGCAAAGTCTTGTACAGTTTATGTATGACAACATGGTCTTGAGTTACAGAGATTTCTTGCTCTGCTGTCATTACCATTTATCGGGGACCACACGCGTGCGGCAAATGTTGGGCGACCCAGGTCTCTTGGTAGGCTGCCACGTCCCCCGAGCCTGCCTTAGGTCACCCATCCAAATTCCAGCCCACGTCCGTGATGCTTGACTCGGCAGATCGAAATCTGCCGGCCAATACACCCGGCTAGGCGGTCCCCTATACCGATAACGTATTCCCACCTCAGAAATGTTGCAATGCCATTGAACATAGTCAGTTGTAAATCAAGAAAATAAATATTCAACATATGTTACAAATAATAATAGGTAACATTTTTAGAATTAAAGTAAATTTTAATAGATGTACCACTTTGACATTAGTGCAGAAATTTAAAGTACGATGGTTTTTCAGATTGTTATGCCGTAGCCTAAATTGCTACGACCACGAAGCGAAAATAGTTGTGGTGACACCACTAGAGTGCGACTGCCGAAATTATGGCAAATACTGTAATGAAAATGTAACTCTGTCATTTTTCTAATAATCTAGAACTGTTGCAACCTAAACACCTTCACTTCATTCTTCATTTTAATATGCAAAACAGTTAATGTATTTTAGCATCAAACTTACTACGGTCAGCCGGTATAATGTGACGACTCTTTTAACAAAATGGTGAAAAAATTAAACACTGAAACAAATATGTGAATTTATTGGATTTCGAAACAAAACAGTAACAGCACACAAATTCAAACAGACCAAAAGCTATAACTGACTATTAATGTTCTACAAATTAACACCTGCAAACATTTTCTGAGGCCTCCTCGAAGGTTCCTTATGTTCAATTGTTAATACAAAGCACACGGGTACATTCACATTTAAGATGGATCTCTATGCGTCAACATGTGATATTTAATACCACTCTTGTATTTACTTTCGTAATCGCAATTGTTACACCTGCACATTTCAACCTGCGAAGGATTTCTATGTTTCAGTTGGTGCCCTTTGATATGTTTCTTGTATTTAGTTTTGTAATTGCAGTCACTACACCTGTCTATGCCCCTCTCGGTCCCAAATCATTTAGGCCACCAACATCGCCAAAATAATGGCACGCCCTATAGATGTTAATAAAAAGAAATGGTATTATTGATAAAATAAAATTTTAACGGGTGCCGTAACGTTTGGTCGTAAGTTACCATATTAAAAAAATTTCCTTCAATTATTATCAAAAAACCGAAAAGGAAGTATACAATGAAATGGAAGTGTGAAATAATAAAATTTATTTAACGAACTTCGGAACAAAGCACCATTTTAATGTTCTACAAAGAAATGTAAGCAATTGAACTTTGGTATCTTTTTTTTAAATCAACCTAGTAATTTAATTTTGAACTAGCGAACGTACACTTTCACACTGAAATCTTTAATTGGTCTATTTCCAACCATGCCAAGGGTTGACTTAAACGAATTTTGTGTTCTATAATTTTACCACTAAATAATGTCAAATATATTGGTGTGAATTTTGCACATATCCGGCAAAACCTTCTCCAAACCATATTGGCAAAGCTGCTGTTTAGACTGTTTCTATGCCTGATCTAAGACACTTGCCCATTTGCACTTTTGATGAATCTTGATGTTTCAACACATAAATTCTTAAACTCTGCTTATGCTTAGTATAGAAAACATATCCGTTACGTTCGAATACTTAGATTTTTGAAGAATGTTTTTAACTGCTGAGCAATTTTCAAAATGGCATTATAATAACGTGTATCATATTCCCGCTTCCCGTGGAAGGGTTCATGTGAGTCAACTGATGTTTTTTGATACTACTCTTATGTTTAGTTTCAAAACTACATGTATCACACTTGTACATTTGGATTTCTGAGAGGTCTTTGTGGGTTAACTGATGTCTGTCCATAGCACTCTTATATTTACTTACAAAAAAACATGTATCACACTTGTACATTTGTGTTTCTGAAGGGTCTTTGTGCTTTAACTGATGTGATTTTAGGTTGCTTTTAAAATTAGTTTCATACGTACAGGTGTCACATTTGTACATTTGAATTTTGATATTATCTTTGTGCTTTAATTGGTGCCGTTTTAGATATGTCTTATGCCTGGTTTCATAGCTACAAATGTCACATTTGTACATTTCCAATTCTGAAACGTCTTTGTGCAATAACAGATGCATTTTTAGATATCTCTCATACTTGGTTTCAAAATTACAAGTGTCACACTTGTACGTCTGGATCTGGCCAAGGTCTTTATGCAGTAATTGATGTACTTTTAGATGTCCCTTATACTTGGTTTCATGACCACAAGTTTCACATCTGTGCATTTGGATTTCGGAAGGTTTTTTGTGCAATAACTGATGTGCTTTCAGACAATTCTTACGTTTAGTTACATAAGTACAAGCATCACACTTGTACATTTTGACTTCTGAAGAGCACTTATGTGATAATTGATGTAATTTTAGATCACTCTTATATTTAGTTTCATACATACAAGCATCACACTTGTACACTTGGATATTTAAAGGATCTTTGTGTGACAACAAATGCGATTTTAGATATCTCTTATACATGGTTTTATAACTACAAGTGTCACACTTGTACATGTGGATCTCCGAAGGGTCTTTGTGGGTTAATTGATGACATTCTAGACTTCTCTTATACTTGGCTTCATAGCTACAAGTATCACACTTGTACATTTGGATTTCAGAAGGTTCTTTGTGCGAGAACTGATGCACTTTCAAACAATACTTATGTTTAGTCTCATAAGTACAAAGATTACACTTGTACATTTTGATTTCCAAAGGATCTTTATGTAATAATTGATGCATTTTCAGAGCACTCTTGTATTTACTCTCATAAGTACACGTATCACATTTGAACATTTTAATTTCCGAAGGGTCTTTGTGTAACAACTGATGCCTTTTCAAATGACTCCTATCTTTAGTTTCGTACGTACATATATCACATTTATACATTCTTCCTCCAGAAGAGCCTTTGCTTATTATCTGGTTGTGCGTGGGGCTCTTCTTGCAATGTATAAATCCCGGAGCAGCTTCCTGTTCTAGACCACCATGAAACTCATTTTTGTTTTCACTATTACACGATGGTGTGCTTAATGCAGCTTCAAGTGCACTTATTTGATGTCCTTTTGTCTCACATTTAACCATATGTTCATTCTTTATTTCTGCTGCGTCCGTGTAAGTGCACAAAGAGACTTCACTGAAAAAACAAAATTGTTTACATTGGAATAAATTCATAAATGAAAGATAGAATTAAGGTGCCATAATCGGATTATTGACTAAATGATACTCAGGGTTTGAAGCAGTGTTGCCAGACGTTTAGACTTTGTGTACCAACTGTGACTCAAAAATGTACCAGATTTAAGAAAATAAGAGAATAGCATATTAAATGGAATAGTTCATTCAGAGTTTTAAAATTTGTAGTTTATTAAAAAATGCAAAAATTTATCATCAAAATTGAATCACTTCAGATTCTGTGTAGAATGTGAATTGAACTCAGTTAATTTTGTTTTTTTTTAAATAAACAAGCTTCTGCACCAATACAAATATTGTCTAATTCTACATACATTACGTGAAAGAAATTTCAGATGGAATTTACACTTTTTTGGTGGCATTATTTTATCACAATTTAGGTTTTAGGTGACAGTAAGTAAACAGAACAGAGTACTTTTTGTTGACGTTCAATATCTTCCTTTCAACTCGTATTGTAACGTTGATTTGCGACGTATCTATTTCTATATGAAAAGAAGCAGATTCGCATACTTAAATATATCTATTTGTGAATTTAAGAAAAAAATACAAAAACGCTAAAAAATATAAAATGAAAATAAAAACAAAAACTAGCAAACACTTAAAGAAGTCATTTGGTTTGGCAAGCAAGCAAGCAAGACAGTTTTTTGGCGAATTTTATATGATCTGAGTGATGAAAATGTAAACTCATTGCTTGCAAAAAGCGTAATCCCTCCCAACATGATGTTTTCTTAAAGAATATCTAATCTTGCATGCATCAATTTTAAAAAATCGCTAATATACATTTTGATTACTGAATTATTTTTTTCTTTCATTATTAATCTTACATCCAAATTATCCTAGTTCAGAGTCCTTCGGATACAAGGTTTAGAGTATCTATCGAGATTTTGTAAGTCTCCAGTATAAAAATACCGATTAATTGAATATTTTCAGCAAAAATCCTGATTTTTTTGTAAAATCGGCAGTACCTCAGTAAAACAAAGTGTTTGGTAAAATCTAATGGTAGATTCATAAAGAACAAAAGACTTTACATAGGAAATGGTACACTTTGCATATTTGAGAATCTCGAATACAATGAACGAGTATGTCAAGAATGTTGAATTCATCTTCGCGTGAACAATCCAACTAACAGGTTCAACTTCGAACAAAAACTATCCTCAACTTAAAATTTTACCTACTCTAAAGTATCACCACAAGCTATTATTTAGACCACTTTTGAATCGAATTCGTGAGATCGATGAAACAGGCGAAATTTTGGGTCACTCTTTTTTTACAACTAACAGTTTTTATGCTACAAGAAATTTTGAAAAAAACGCATTCCAAAATATTTTTTAGCAGAAAAATTTCATAAAGCATAGCTCAAAAATTTTATAAAGTGTTAAGTAAAAGATACGACCATGAATTCCATATCTATGTCTCGTACTGTACTTTCATACTTGTCGAGATAAAATTTCAGTGAACTTGTTAAACACTTTTATACTTGGAAATATTTATACTGAACTATCTACCTAAAGTTTTATAAATTTTCTCACCTATCCCAATCATTTCCTTCAGCTTTTATGTTGACTTCTTTAGTTTCAATGGGAGCTTCTTCCATCTTTAACTCTTTTTTAATTTCGATGAACCCTTCCATCTTCTGTTCATCTCCTAAATCTATTTCATCAGTTTCACTTTTAATAAATGTATCGCCAAACTCAAAATCTATGATTTTGTTGGTACAGATGTTGTGAATTTGCTTTTCAACATCCAAACAAGTCTTTATGAAGGTATCGTGAATGATGAGTGAATCAAAACATTGCCTGCAAACTACTGGATCTTCCGTTAGGCCAAAATTCTACAACAAAAGAGTTTGTAAAGATACTGGTAGTTTTAAAGCTACAAAATGTGCTTGAAATGGATATTTACCACTTCTGGAATGCATCTGTCAATCATCTCTAACTTCGTTTCATAAAATGGCACAAATTGTTCGCTAACCAGCTGCAAGCATAATCGACATATTTTCTGATCATCTTCTATTTTAATTAACGATTTGTTATCGTGTTCTTTTAAATAAACTTCTCTTAAATCAACAAATGACATTGTGGGATTAACATTAGAAACAATCTTATCCTCAACGTAGAGACAAGTGAATTTAAAGTCACACACAGAGTACAATTTAGCACAACAAGTAGAACACATGATATGTTTATAGTTGTCCACCGAGTCCTAAAATATGGAAATTATTTATTATAGCATAAAACTTTTTGTGGATATTATCAGAAAATTCAAATTAGGTACTAGATTATAATTAGAAAGAAGTTATTTTTGGCCTCCGGAATAAAGTTTCGATCATTTTGTGTTCTGTTTTGGTCACTTTTACTCCTTTTTTTTAGTATTTCAGACAAATTTGTAGAGTAAAAAGGCAATGCGGATAGCGAATAAAAAAATAACCCAAACATAATTTTGTCAATTTATCTGTAAACATTTAGGTACGTTACGTATAAGTTAAATAAAAAAAACTTAATTTTTATGCAAATAAATTTCTAGATACAATTAAGGTTGTCGGGGTCTTTTTATATATGCAAACACTAAAACTTAAAGTATCATTCTTGAAAATATGAGGGAGGCAGGAAAATGTTTTTGAAGATTTAAGCAATTAGTGCTAATAGAAATATCTTTTTTACTGAAAATGTAAAATGATTTGATTACCAAACTAATGTGCAGCATGAACTTACCAGATTCAGTGAAACTGTCTTTAAAAGTTCCCTTATAGATTCGTCTATCACTGTAAAATTTTCATTGCTCTCAGTATTATTGCAAATACGGCAAAATTGTCCTTTAGAACCTTCCATATAATTATTTTTTCCTTTTCGATTATCCTAAATAGAATTTATAACCTAGACTATCATAATTTGAAACGTCATTGTTCATAATCTTCATGGACCATGGAAAGCACTCATAGAACATAGAAGTAGAAACAATTGAAAATTGACTTGTATACATCACAGATTAGGTATACACATACTAAAGGTATGTGCTTGTATTTTATATAAAAATTGGTTAGGGGCAAGTCCACACACTAGATGGCACTGCTCCAGTTATGCTACCAATGCTGACCTCTACTAGTTTTGTAAAACTTATACAGAAATAAATGAGAAAGAATAAGATAAGTATTACACTTTTTTGATTTCTCCATTTTCGACTATTAACGCTCAATATTTATTCAAGAGCAGCACAGACTGTGATACAAATTTAACGTGGTCCATACATTTTAATTTGCATCCCAGTTGAAATATGTCCTTGACACACATTTTAACAACTGAGCAAGCTAATTCTTTTAGATTTTGCTTATATGTATCGCACATTGGTTTTAATTAAATAATTATTTTTGCCGTTTTAAAAATGTACTTAATAAAAAAATATATAAAAAACTAATCTGAATGATAGGACAGGTAACATTGAAAAGTTAAAATCTAAACAAAATACGGTATCTACCCTTTTTTCTTGTTTAGCCTTTTCACCAGCCAATGGGTGCTAGACATATTAAATTAATACGAAGCTAACAAAACAGCAACAAAATTAAATCGTGAACAGTTTAAATTTAAGCAAAATCCGATCTTGTTCCATACGCTTACAAAGAGTAACGAGCAACAGCTGCTCTGTTAAAATACCATACAAACGTTTCTGAAAAGCCGTTACTGCCAGTTATTAACACCCGAGCAAATCAATCTTTAAGAAACTGTTTTTTCTTATAAGGTATGCGAGTACTTTAACTTCCAAAGAACCTCTTTGCGCGTCCAATACCGTATCAATATCGCTAAAATGTATGGTTTTTCATAGATGGATTTTTGTTATTTCAGTGTTTAGAGGTATTCTAATTAAACTTCGCTGTTATTAAATTATAAATATCGTGACTGGTTTGTCTGTACTAAGGGTCGTATGACACTATGCTAAAGTAATATCAAAAAAAAAAAACAGTGAATGTGAAATATTTTTAATTGTAATTTGTTGGGCTAATAGTTATTTATATTATATATAGGTACATAAAAGTATCAACAAAATACAAATTGGGCTGCAAAGAAAATATTTTTTTTACGCAGATACAATACAGGAATTTTATATTTTAGCTTTGAACAAATGACACTTTATGCAAGTTCAATATACTGAGTTACCCTCCAAACTGTTCTAGAATTCAGAATCCAAAAAGGTGGCAAAGGGTTTACATTACACGACCTGTTTGTTCTTTGGCAACAAATCTTTTCAGTTGTTTCATTCGGGGCATTCCTTCTACCAAAAGTTCCACGTAATTTTCGCACAGTCTCTACTACACACTCTCCGTACTTGTAATGAATTTTCACAATGTATGCTCGCTCATCCATCGTATAGCGCTCCTTTTTGTCTAACCGCAACGCGTTTACTACAATATGTGACCCTGGACAATGCTGCCAACTTTTTGGAATGAATATGGTGTACAACTGCATTACTTTTAGGACACCTGTTACAAAAAATTCTGCGGATAGAAGACTGGAATTAACGTATCAACATTAAATTTAGTTTCTTAAGTTCAAATGCAAATTATGAGTATTAAATACCTCTGGATATGGGCAACAAGAAAAATAAATTACCAATTACCCTTGTTCGTTAATAAATTGTCTGTAATTGATTACAGACTTACATTACTACCGTGTCATGTGTCAGCTGATGTCTAACTAAACTGTGTTTATGCCTCGTCTGGAAAACACATTTATCACACTTGTACATTGGCATTTTTGAGGGATCTTCATGTTTCAGCAGGACGTGAACTCTTAAACTGTCTTTATACCTAGTTTCAAAAACACAATCATTACATTTGTACACCTGGACATTTGAAGAACCTTTATGTACTGGCAGATGACATGCAAGATAGTGTTTGTCAACAGTAGTACTGGATGTATCACATTCCGATATCTCTGCTGTGCAAGGCTTCTCATGCAATAATTGGTGGTTTCTGAGACCCTTCTTGTATTTGGTTTCATATCTACATATAGCACACCTGTACATGCAGATTTCTGAAGGGTCTTTATGAGTCACCTGGTGATCTTTTAGATGACTCTTATATTTAGTTTCATAAGTACAAACTTCACATTTGAACATTTGAATCTCTGAAGAGTTTTTATGTGTTAACTGATGCACTTTTACTTGTCCCTTGTACTTAGTTTCAAAACTACAAGTATCACATTTGTACATTTGGATTTCAGAACGGTCTTTGTGCGTTACCTGATGACATTTCAGACGGTGCTTATATTTAGTTTGAAAAGTACAAGTACCACATTTGTACATGTGGATTTCCGAGGGATCTTTATGTGTTAACAGATGGTATTTTAGAGAATGCTTGTATCTAGTCTCATAACTACATGCATAACACTTGTACATTCGGATTTCCGATGGATCTTTGTGTATTAACTGATGCACTTTTAGGTGTCCCTTATGTCTGGATTCGTAACTACATGCATCACATTTGTACATTTGGATTTCCGAAGGGTCTTTGTGTGATAACTGATGTTCATTTAGATGACTCTTATATTTAGTTTCATAATCACACACATTGCATTTGTGCATTCGTGCTCCTGAAGGTTCTTTGCTTAACTGATAGCACGTGGAATGTTTCTTACAATCTATAAGTCCTGGAACTTCACTACTACATGATGGCACCTCTTCGAGAGTACTTGCATCAACTACTATTTCACATTTAAGCATAGATTCATCCTTTATTTCTCCTACATCTTCATAAATGTGCTCCTTTTTGTCGTCAGCTGTTTCATTACGTAAGTTGTAAAAAGGCAAATCACTGAAAAAATTTAAATTGTTCATTGTGGAATAAATATATATATATGAAATATACAGTGTGGAAGAGGAGTATGAAATAAATTAATTAATCCCAAACTCATAAAGTTTTATGACATTTCCTCAGACACATCAATTTTGCATTTTAGAAGGCAAGTTTTTATGTACCCCTCGCCTTCCAGATAAAAAGTAAAAAGCATTTGATAATATTCGGACTACTGCATTCTTGGATTTCACATCACAAAATTCTTTATTATTAAAACAATTTAACAAAACAGATCCATTAATTACTTGTTCAAAACTAATTGTCTTCCACACTGCAAATGTGGCAAAAATTTCTTGCCTTACATTGTCCAATGTTTCTGCAGCAGTTATATTTTCATACAAGTAACCCATAGTATCAATATTTTAAAAAATCTAGGGAACAAAGCTAGGCTCAATCGTCAGTCCAACTCACCAGACATACACCAGTTTCAGACTTGTTAGTCCTCATCAGTATGCCACAGGAGAGACAACTGACAAATAATTCAACTATTAAAGAGCTGTGAATTAATTTGGAAGGATTTACAATAGATGGCGTAACTTATGTTATATCACATTGGATACTTCTGTAACTATATACATGTCAAAGCTCTGTAATAATTAGCTTTTTACTTTTCATTATGTGTCATTCTGCTGGTGTAAACAACACATTTTTCCTCGGCTCGGAAGATGTCGAATTACAAACCAACAAAACACCATTTGCAGAAAGTTTTAATTTCCTGTTTAATTCAAAGAAAAGTGTTGCTGTAAGTCATTGAGTCCTGTTGGAAACTTACGGTGAACATTATCCATCGATAAAAACGTGTGAGTATTGGTTTCGACATTTTAGAAGTGGGGATTTCGATACAGTTGACAGAAAACGCCCTACTCAACCGAAAAAGTTCAAAGATGAGGAATTAGAAGCATTACTTGACCAAGATTCATGTTAAACACAAGACGAATTTGCTGAATAGTTGAATGTTGAATGCACAACAGTTTCCAAAAGTTTAAATCCACTCGGTATGATTCAAAAGCAAAGAAATTGGGTGCAACACGAACCGATGCCGAGAGATGTTGAAAGGCGGTTTTTCATATGTTAGCAATTGTTTCAGAGGGAAAAAAATCAATAAAAATAATTTGGACAAATTTCACTATTTGATAAACTCAAAAGCAAGTAAACAACATATCATAAAATGAATAAATAATTTTTTACAACCTACTTTGAAATATTTAGAATTATCTAAATTTTTCTTAACTTTCTTACCTTTCACAAATATTTTCACTTTTTATGTTCACTTCTTCAGTTTCAATCGGTGTTTCTTCCATCTTTAGCTCTTGTTCAATTTTAATTGACCCTTCCATCTTATCTTCATCTCCTAAACCTGTTTCAATGGTTTCGTTTTTAATAGACATATTGTTATGCTTAAACTCTGTGATTGTAGGTTCACCAGCATTTTGAACTTTTATTTCAACATTCAAACAGGCCTTTATAAAAGTATCATGAGTGACGAGTAACTCAAGACATTGGTTACAAACAAGGGGATCTTCAGTAAGACCAAAATTCTACAATACAAGTATAAAGTGCAAGCTCTAAAATATGCAAATTGATATTTACCATCTCGGGGATGTATCTGTGAATCATTTCTAACTTCACTTTATAAAATGGTACAAATCCTTCCCTAACTAACTGCAAACATAATCGACATATTTTCTCGTTATCTTCCACTTTAACTGGTTTGTGCTCATGATCCTTGGAATAAACTTCTCTCAAGTCAACGAAGGACACCTTAGGATTAACATAAGTGACAATCTTGTCCTCAACGTAGAGACAAGTAGATTTAAAGTCAAACGCAGAGTACAGTTTAACAGAACAGGTAGAACACATGACATGTTCACTGTTGTCGTCCAAGTCCTGAAACATGTTTCTATTGAAAAAGTAAAATAATTTGACTAGCAATACTTAATATACATTCGTTAATTTGAACTTAGGAACTCACTTTAAAGGGGTGATGCCTCAACTTAGAATAACAAAATGTAGTTTTAAATGAACTTACTAGATTTGGTGAAACAGTCCTTAAAATTTCTCTAATGGATTCGTCTATTACTGTAAAATTTCCTTTGCTGGCAGTATTAATGCAAAACCTGCAAAACATCCCTTTAGAATCTCCCATTTATATAAACTTTTTGTCTTTTTGATTATTTTAAATATAAGAATTTATAACCTATATTTTTCATCTTCTTCCAAATTTACGGTTTGACGTGTGTAAACTTAACCACTTTGTTATAGAGTTCATGGAGACTAGTCTCCATGATAGAGTTGCTCGATAATTAAAAAATGCCGGTACTAGGGGTTTACGAAAAATATATCTGACCAACTGATCCGAGCTTGCTTACTCTGGTCAGAGTGCTCTTTTAAATTAACTATTTTCGTAAGCACCTAGTCGAAACTGATCTAATCTAACCTCTATCACTATCTACATGCAATAATTCTACAAATAACCTGTATAACCTTTTACTTTTAGTTAGTGATGGGCATAATCGACCAATTTTGATAATCAAGTTATCGGTAATCGAGTACTTCTGATAATCGAGTGATCACTCGAGATACGAGATATTGGTCGTTTTCATCCCAGCGGCGCACAAATATGTTTGTATTATCTGTATTAGTCATATATTACTTATAAGCGTAGCTAAAAAAAAAAGCTCACGCACTTCTAAACCTAACCACTTTTTCGTTTTATTCTAAAAAAAAAAGTTACGCAATCAGTGACTATTTGCAGTATGCACTAACATTTTGGGGTGCAACCGTAGGGTAATAATCACTCGAGTGGTGGGAGTAAACATCTCGAGATATCTCGAGTGATCTCAATAATCGAGTACCACTCGATTTTTCACTCGAAATCTCCCATCACTACTTTAGAGTGTCAAGCTGCTTTATTGATGCGCCATTATTCCATGGCTAGAAATTGGCCTCAATGATTTGGGATCGAGGGGGATTATCCCTCTTTATCCTGCCTCATCTCGTGTAGGCCTGGACAGCCTTCGTAGGTGGGCCCCATCCGTCGTCTACCCCGACCGCAAATGCGGCCGGTGTAGGCGCTTTGTGGGACCTCCTTTTGTCCTGGCTGGGCCCCGCCGGCTAGGGCCCTTTCTTCTGGCGCTCTTCTTGCTTCGCCGGCTCGTCTGTGTAAACCCCGGGGGTAGTGTCATGTTTATGTGTGGTATGGTTGGGTAGGGTAGTGCGGCTATGCAGCCTGGGATGCGCTTTGCTAAGGTGGCCCTTAGGCTAGCGCGGGAGGGGAGGGTTAAGGAGGGTATGGGGGGTGTGTATGTGTGTGTGTGTGTCGTTGTCTTCGTTTCTTGATCCTGGCTGTCTCTGAAACAGAAAAGGTTAGCGGGCAGGGGGGGGATGTCGTTGGGGTGGTCACCCAGGGTCAAAAAGTTGGTGTCTAGGTCTTTTGTGTTTGTCGATCATGTCGGGTACGTAGTCAACGGCTTGCCTGAGGGGATTGTCATGTCTAGCGGCTACGTCAAACCGTTTCTCCGCGTTTTGTCTTATTGTCTGTGTTCTCGAGATGGATACCTCAAACAACCACGATCTTTAATACAAATTAATTTACTGTACGAATACTGTGTATTTGACATTAAACTATTTACACAGTCTTCACATTTGATTGGCTTTATTAGAGAACTTGTTATTATTATTAGTGATGGGCATAATCGACCAATTTTGATAATCGAGTTATCGGTAATCGAGTACTTCTAATAATCGAGTGATCACTCGAGATACGAGATATTGGTCGTTTTCATCCCAGCGGCGCACAAATATGTTTGTATTAGTCATATATTACTTATAAGCGTAGCTAAAAAAAAAAAAAAAGCTCACGCACTTCAAAACCTAGCCACTTTTTCGTTTTATTCTAAAAAAAAGGTTACGCAATCAGTGACTATTTGCAGTATGCACTAACATTTTGGGGTGCAACCTTAGGGTAATAATCACTCGAGTGATGGGAGTAAACATCTCGAGATATCTCGAGTGATCTCAATAATCGAGTACCACTCGATTTTTCACTCGAAGTCTCCCATCACTAAATGTTGTCATCACGATTTACAAATGGCGGATTCAAACTACAAAATTTGTATTTATTAAATACATGTTTTTTAACTTGAAATTTGCGAAAATGTGTTTCATGAACAGTGTTAATTGTTCATAACAGATGTTCTGAAAGCTATATAAAACATACAGAGTTCTACGTAGTGTTATCTGAAATATCCAGGTTAGAATTTTGAAAATTTTTTTTCTCAAAAACTAGGTTCGACCGCAGCATCGAAAATAGGGGGGTAAACATAATTTTGTGAAGATTTGGTAGGGTGCCACTATACTAAATAATTAATAGTTTTTGTAAATAACAAATCAGTAAAAACAATGCAAAACTAGCACGACGCCACACAATAGGGGTTTACGAAAAATATATCTGACCAACTCATCCGAGCGCTGCTTACTCTGGTCAGAGTGCTCTTTTAAATTGGCTATTTTCGTAAGCACCTACAATTATCTAGCACCTAGTCGAAACCGATCTAATCGAACCTCTATCACTAATAAATTAATTAGACCGTATCGAAAAAAAATATCTACAATCTACATGCAATAATTCTACAAATAAATGTGAAAAGTGGTACCTGTATGATGTACGACTACAATAATAATAATGTTCATCTACATCTACCATATCTAAATTGTTATTTAACATATTGCCATTTTTAATTTTTTTTCTACACAAGACAACTGAAGAGAACGAAACGAAGTTCATGTTTCATTCAACAGTCAACAAAACAATCTTTCTTTGTAACTTAACGAAACATGTTTTTAATTTTTTTATTATACCTGTAAACAACACGCATGCGCAAATTTCAGATCATTCTTTAATCTGACAAATAAGCAAGGGCGACTAGAGCGCTCAGATTTTCTATAACTGAGCATTGAGGTTGCATTTTCGTAATGGGATCGAATCATCAGAGTGAATATTCGTAAGGCATTTTCTTGTTCCGACCACTCCGATATAATTATCGTAAACCCCTACTGTATATTGTATTTTTCGCTAAAAAAGTTGCCTCTGGCCGCGGAAAAACTCCGCGGTGATCCTGGGTGACCCTAATCCCCGCAGGCCCAGGCCTACATAGATAAGGAAGGACAAAGAGGGATAGACAAGCTCTGGTTTCGATATTTTTTATTTTTGTGATAAAAACTACGATAACGCAAGCTCAAATATTTCCGCGGTTCTTTTTTGGCTAGTGGCCAGTAGTTGCTAATCATTCAGAATTTGGTGATTATGATTACAAGATCTACAGAAGGATTTGTGTATTTTAAAAATTGAGAAACGTGATTGGCTTATGTCGAATCATGATCTCAAAATCACGATCAAAAGAAAGCAGTTATGTTATCTTTTTGTTATTTTACTTATTTTGTTAATGGTTTGTACTCCTATAATTATTAGGAACAGCCTATAGGTATTTAAAACAAAATTAAATAACATGGATTTTAAAGAGTTCATTCCCCTATAGTACGGCGATGTGTCAAAAGAGGCGCTGCTGTAACGCGAAATAGCGAGAAGTCAAGAGTCAACAATCTATAAAACCTTTTACTTTTAGTTAGTGATGGGCATAATCGACCAATTTTGATAATCAAGTTATCGGTAATCGAGTACTTCTGATAATCGAGTGATCACTCGAGATACGAGATATTGGTCGTTTTCATCCCAGCGGCGCACAAATATGTTTGTATTAGCTNCTATATAACCTTTTACTTTTAGTTAGTGATGGGCATAATCGACCAATTTTGATAATCAAGTTATCGGTAATCGAGTACTTCTGATAATCGAGTGATCACTCGAGATACGAGATATTGGTCGTTTTCATCCCAGCGGCGCACAAATATGTTTGTATTATCTGTACTAGTCATATATTACTTATAAGCGTAGCTAAAAAAAAAAAAGCTCACGCACTTCTAAACCTAACCACTTTTTCGTTTTATTCTAAAAAAAAAATGTTACGTAATCATTGACTATTTGCTGTATGCACTAACATTTTGGGGTGCAACCGTAGGTTAATAATCACTCGAGTGGTGGGAGTAAACATCTCGAGATATCTCGAGTGATCTCAATAATCGAGTACCATTCGATTTTTCACTCGAAATCTCCCATTACTACTTTTAGTAATCTGTGCTGTTTTTTATGGATTGTTTTGGGGTTTGGGTTGTTTTGTTTGTAGGTTATGTAATGATTGACTAATTGTTTAGAATACCTTAAATTTCTCGTTCCTCGTTATAAAAAAAGAAAAAATGTAGCCAAAAGACTTTAAAGAAATATGTTTCTCTTAATATGTAAAAACGACATAACTTGCGAAATAATAGAAGCGATAAAGAAAACTTTAGAAATAATTTTACTGAATCTAGTAAATCATTACTTTACTGTGTATGTAATGTATATTTGTAATTACGTATCTTTCAGAACTTGGAGGAAAAAGACAAACATGTAACTTGTAAAGCGTGCTCTGAGAAATTACCCTAAGAGAATAATTTTTCCCTATACTAATTCTAAAGAAGTGTCAGTAATTGATTTAAAAGAAGTTTATCTAAAGCAAAAAGAAAATATTCAGTTAATCGATTATGTGTCCAGTTGGTTACATGTGGATTTGTACCACTGAATGAAGTGGATATTGACATAATTGATAAATACATACCACAAGTGGTAAGTGTATTTCAAAGTACTCCTTAGGAAATATTTGTATGTGCTAGAATCAGGCTGTTCCTGTAAGTGCAGTTCTACTATAGATTTGACAGTATAGATATACTATGGATAAAGTCAAAGCTGACTTTCTATGTAGCCGTTCCAGCATGAACAGCAGAAGCGGCAGCGATTTGCCCTAAGCCACGTGACTTAGGATACAAATCGTGCGACATTGATTTTAAAAGAAGCTATTTCTGATTATGAAATCGTCTCTTTTTTGGTAGTAACACTACAATTAAAAAAATTACTGTCAAATCTGTGATTTATAACTATGTAAAATAAAATGGTTGTTTGTTGACGATGCCTTAATTGAACTATAATTATGTATGTAAGGTGAAGTGGGGTAAATGTGATAATGGTTCATAAATTTAATGCAAATTTATTACTAGTGCTGCCACCTACCTTATAACTCTTTAAGCTTGCATAGGAATAAGCCCAATACTACAGGGACCCCAAATTCCACCCAGTGTAGCTGCAGGTGGCGAGCCAACAATTCGTCATAATATAACCTAATATTCAAGTTGACACGTTTAATAATAATATATAACATAAAATGATGAATAAAGTTTATATCTTTGTGCTCGATTGATATAATTTAATTTCATAAAGCAAATTAATGAGCCGACTATAATCATTATACATTTGACCCATTCAATTTCAAGTAACTTATTTATAGGTAGATAGGTAGCATTATCACATTTGTCCCAAACTTCGGGGTAAATGTGATATATTGATATCGTTTTAAAAAAAATTACCTGACATTTTTCAAAAAGGAGCTGAAAAGATGTCAGTCCTAGAATCGATTAAGAACTGTATTCGAAGCATTAAGTATTTTTTATTTATTTTTTATTCCATTAAAAGTGTAAGTTTTGTTCTTTTGTTTGTGAACTATTCAAAAACTATATCACATTTACCCCACTTCACCTTATATCCGAATCATACAAGTTGCATTCCAAAATAAACAGGACTCTTCAAAATTAGGAATTTCTAGTGAGACCATCTATTGGCAATTACATGCTTCCCTGAAGTACATTTGGAGGAATAAAGGCAGAGTTTTTGCGTCTGATGTGACAGTATGTTTGTGTCACCGGTACAAAAATAAGCATCGAATATAGAGCTAATATTAAGTTTTGTTTTAAACTTGGTAAAAACTTTTACCAAAACGTTTCAATTCACGAACCAAGCTTATGGTGATGATTGTTTATCCCGAGAAAAAAAATCTTGTTTGGAGAANTGTAGCTGTTCCAGCATGAACAGCAGAAGCGGCAGCGATTTGCCCTAAGCCACGTGACTTAGGATACAAATCGTGCGACATTGATTTTAAAAGAAACTATTTCTGATTATGAAATCGTCTCTTTTTTGGTAGTAACACAATTCAAAAAATTACTGTCAAATCTATGATTTCTAACTCTAAAATAAAATGGTTGATTGACGCCTTAATTGAACTATAATGGTGTATGTCTATCAGAATCATAGAAGTTGCATTCCAAAGTAAACAGGACTTCAAAATTGGGTATTTCTAGTGACGCCATCTATTGGCAATTACATGCTTTCCTGAAGTACATTTCGATGAATAAAGGCAGAGTTTTTGAATCTAATGTGACGGTATGTTTGTGTCACCGGTACAAAAATAAGCATCGAATATAGAGCTAATATTAAGTTTTGTTTTAAACTTGGTAAAAACTTTTACCAAAACGTTTCAATTCACGAACCAAGTTTATGGTGATGATTGTTTATCCCGAGAAAAAAAATCTTGTCTGGAGAAGTCAATATTGATTTGTTTTAACGATTCCAAGAGCATCGTCCACAAAGAGTTCGTTTCACCAGGCGAAACTGTTAATGCTCAATTCTATATAGGTGTTGCTCTTATTTTTTAAAAAGTCTTGTTTACTTAACACACCTTATATAATCTATTGTGTAAATGTTTTTATAGTTACAATAGAAACAACCATAATGAGCAAACTTTTTCAATTGTTTTATAATATATTTTGCACCTACTTCGTTTTTGCACAAAACGAAAATTGAAATAGATTCAAATAAAAAAAAGAAGCGGTAAATGACCTTGTTTTACATGTTTTATTTGAAAATTAATAAAGTTTCTGATAAACTAACCGATTAAGTTAGTTGTGCTACTACATAGTTGTAGCAAAGTTAGCATTTTTTTCTTCAGATTCTTATAAGAACAATATTTATTCCATTGGAGATGAACATAAATATTTTTTAGGGATCCTGTTGTATGCGGATCGTGTTTTGAGTCGCTTCGTACTCACGGTGGTTTTTTAAAGAGCTGCCTTGATGCGCAAGAGCAACATAAAAACAATAAACAGTCTTACATTAAATCTGAAGAGATGAATATAAATCTGGAAGATGGTCAAGATGCGCAGGAGAAATGTAGAATTTTTGATAAGCAGTTTTCTATTAAAACTAAAGAGATGGAAATAAAACTGGAAGATGGTCAAGATACGCAGGATAAATATGAAATCATCGATAGACCGTGTTATATTAAACCTGAAGAAATTGAAGTAAAGCTGGAAGATGGTCAGGATGAGCAGGAGGGATATAAAAATGTTGACAATCAGTGTTGTATCAAATTTGAAGAGATTGAAATCAAGGTAGAAGATGATCAGGAGAGGTAAGGAAATATATCAATGAAATTTGGAATGGGCTCTTGCATAATCTCCCAGAATGTAAAAATTAAGTTTTCTTTCTAAAAATATTCATCTTAAATATAATTTTTTTCATTTTTTCGTTACCAGTACCAGCCTTGCAATGTCGGTTGCCTAAGTTCGGGGGCAATGTGGCTTGTAAATATCTCTGTCGATGTATACAAATTTGGAGTTTTGATTTATCGAAGTAGAATAAGAAAAAAGATCTCTTAAATTTTGTTTGAAGAAAGAATCGTTTTAAAGTTCTAACTTTTTTAGGGATATATTTTTTTAACCTCAAATGAAGTGAACTACGACCCATATTCATATAAAACTTTTTGATTAAAATAATTTGTTCCTTTACCCTTTTGAAGGAATATCCTGTATAGATAGAGCAATACACTGTATAGAAAATAGGGGTTGACTTGCGTAATTTTATTTTAAGTACTACTGAAATATAGGGAAAATGTACTCATAATTATTTTTTATACTAAAACTCTATTCTTCTGCTTTTGCCCGAAATAAACTTTTCAATTAGTTTTTGATTAAAGTTTGGTATTTCCGTACTATTGATTTTTGCAAGTGTTACAATCATTTTAAACTTTTACAATTGTTTAAAAAACAGAAGAAACAATATGTAGATAACAAAATTTTACACCACATCTGAACAAATTACGTTTATTAAGAAAAAAAAGCGGTGAATAGCTATTATTTGGTTACGGTCAGACTAAACAGCCCAAACTGCATAGTAAATATGTGCTACTCCCACTCCATCTTTCACTGCTGTGTGACGGTAACCATAACCACCGAAATCATAATAATGAAACTCCCATATATTTAGGACTGCCGATATATGGCTAAAAAAGCTATTTAATTATTTCGAATAAATTACGTTTTATTATTAAAAAGTTAACCCTAATTTGAACATCCTCTACTATAGTTTATTTATAGTAAATAATTTTTTATGAAATTCTTACATTGGTATATATTTATTTCATAAACAGCTCTAATTTTTCCAGCAATCTCTCTTCATATGACTTAGAAGATGAAAAGATTGAAAACAAAGGGAGAGGCACTTCAGAAGATATAGGTGAATATATGCAATGTGATACAGAATCTGATGAAAACTATACAACATTGGCCCACAACATCCAAATACCTGAAAGCAGTGACATTGACTCGTCATTAAATACACAATTCTATCAAAGTGATAAAGATAAAACTAAACCGAAAAGGAGTCTGAAGAGGCATCAATTAACACTTGAAAACGCGTCAAAAGCACATATGCACAGGTGCGACACCTGTGGCTTTGAAACGAGTTACAGAACCAGTCTGACTAGACATCGGTTGGTACAAGATCCCTCAGAAGTGGGAGCTTACAAGTGCAACAGTTGTAGTTACGAAACCAAATACATCAAATGTCTGAAAGTGCATCAATTTTTACACAAACATCCTTCAAAAGCTAAAATGTACAAGTGCGAGACGTGTGGCTACGAAACAAAGCATAAAAGTCACCTGAAAATGCATCAGTTATTGCACAAAGATCCTTCGGAAGTCCAGATGTACAAGTGTGATACTTGCGGTTACGAGACTAAATATAAGAATCACCTAAAAGTGCATCTTCTCACTCACAAAGATTCTTCGGAAATCCAAATGTTCAAGTGCGATACTTGCAATTACGAGACTAAATATAGGGGTGTTCTAAACAGGCATCAGTTAACGCACAAAAATATCTCGGATATTAAAATGTACAAGTGTGATATATGTAGCTACGAAACTAAATATAGGAATCACCTGAAAGGGCATCAGTTGATGCATAAGGATTCTTCCGAAATCCAAAAGTTCAAGTGTGATAAGTGTAGTTACGAATCCAAGTTTAAAAGCAATCTAAAAGCACATCAATCGACACACCAGTATTCTTTGGAAGTCCAAAAGTACAAGTGTGATACATGTAGCTACGAGACCAAGTTTAGGAGCAACCTAACATCACATCAGTTGAAACACAAAGACCCTTCGGAAATCCAAATGTACAAGTGTGATGAATGCAGTTACGAAAGTAAACAAAAGCGTCATCTGAAAGTGCATCAACTAAAACACAAATATATTTTAGAAATCCAAGTTTACAAGTGCGATAGATGTGATCACCAAACTAACAGCAAAAGCAGTTTAAAAACACACCAACTAGTACACAAAGATTCGTCGGAAATTGAAATGTACAGGTGTGACTCATGTGACTTTGAAACTAAGCATAAAAATTGTTTAGGAGTGCATCGCTCGTCACACAAAGATTCCTCAGAAATTGAAAAGTACAAGTGTGATACTTGTACTTACGAAACCAAGTTTAGAAGCAATCTAAAATCGCACCTGTTAAGGCACAAGGATCCCTCAAAAATCTAAATGTACAAGTGCGAGGAATGTAGTTACGAGAATAAACAAAAGCGTCATTTGAAAATGCATCAATTAAAACACAAAGAAATTGTAGAATTCGAAACGTAAAAGTGCGACAAGTGTAGTTACGAAACTAATCGTAAAAGCAGTTTAAACATTCATCAGATAGTGCATAAGGATTCGTCGGAAATCCAAACATACAAGTGTCACACGTGTAGTTTTGAAACTAAGTTAAAAAACAATCTAAGATGGCACCAATTAAAACACAAAGATGCTTCAGAAATTCAAATGTACAAGTGTGATGCTTGTGATTACGAAACTAAATATAAGAGTTGTTTAAAAGCTCATCAATTAACACATAAAGATTTGTCAGAAACCCAAACGCACAAGTCTGATTAGTGTTGTAAATGACCGAGAATAATGTCACTGTTATATTCCATGTGATGTAATTATTATAAAATTAAAGAAATGTGAAATATTTTTATATCGTCAAAAGCATAAAAATGTTCATTACTCCCGAGCATTCTCGGGAACACGCTGATGATTCCCCAATTTTCTTGAAAGGCTTTTAAGTGCTCCACCTCCATAATTTTCATTATTTGCACAAGCAATATACAGGGTGTAACTTTAAGTTCAGGTCAGTTTTTTAGTGGTTCCCCTGAATACGAATCTGAAATAGTTTCTTTCTGGGCGGCATAACCTAGACCACCTGGAATTAGCATGGTAAGTTGTATCAGTGCACTATCAGCATTGCCCGTTGTTAACTTTTTAAAACGACTGTTAGCGACAATGGAAAATAATTTAGTGAAAAGGATTCTTTGGCTTAGCGACGTGTTACTTTAAAGTCATCATTACATTTTTTTTATATCGATGTCGATGAAGCGCCCAACATATTAACTAATATCGGTATGTCGATAACGTTACTAATTGTAACACGATTGCCGGGATATAGCGTGTGTAATCATGGTCCTGCTAATAAAGGTTATCCCACAGCCATTGGTCAGTATGGAGCATTTTGTATAAATGACATCAAAAAGTGTATTACCTATAATTATTTATTTGTGGCAATTTTCATTAGTTTTTATTTAATATGGAATTTCTGCCACACATGAATAACGGATTTCTGTATGATTTTTAAATGATTTACTGTTTATAGAATACTAACTGAATTTCAACAACTGTATAAATTTTAGCACTTTATAATTATATTTTATTTTACGGCACAATACAGAATTGCTCTTTAAATATTCTCTCATATCTTCGTGGAGGGTAGATAAAAGAAAAAAAAAAGAATAGAAAATGTTTGTATGTGTTTTTCTATTAATTATTTAAACATATCATTTTATTTTGGATAATTATTTTTTTTACTAACTGTTTAACTAATGCCTTAATAAAAATGAAAATGAAATGAAAAGTGAAATCAAGAAAAATTATCTACCTTCTCGGCGGTAGCCAGTTCTGGTGAAACAGGATATATTTATAAAATTAGTCTCTTAACTGATCGTTATTGTGCAATTTATTTTAAAAAAATTGGTACAAATACCCAATTAAATAAGAACAGTATCAGTAAATTTAAAAAAATCTAAATGTACTACTGTAAATTTTAATAATAATTCCCCGATAGAATATATACACAGCCTATACAATAAAGCAGCAATTCCAATCCGTCGACAACACTTTGATCTTTTTCAATCAAATTAGGTAACCTTGGTCATTATAGCATAAGAATTGCACAGAAACAAAAAGAAAAGTGGTCTATTGCAATGTATTCTTACGTATTTTGACGGGTCCACCACCCTTCGAACGAAATTTCGTTTTCTTCTGTATTCTTTATTTTATCATTTTATTGTCCACATTGACAGTGGGCATTAGATCTGTACTGGTAGAGTCCCTGGGTAAACGGAAGGAATGGTATACCCTTTAGAGTGGGGTTTTCTATTTTTAATGGTGGTTTTTCAACGATTTAAATATAACAGAGTGGTGATGGAGCAATTCTGAATTTGGTTTTGTTTTAAGCATGTCAAGCAGACCACTTTTCTGTTTTTCTATGACTGCGTTATTAATTTAATGAAAGAATTATTATAACTATTCATGTTTAATACTTTGTGGTCTGTTGCAATAATTATATTGAGTAGCTTATTTGCTCTTTGTTAGTGGCTGCTAAACATAGGCGAAGTGCATCAACATAACAATCCGCATCAGGGAATCGTATTGGGTAACTGACAAGCTGTACTTGTACTTATTCTGTCTCGAATATGCAGTCTAAAATTTTTACCTGCACTTTTGCATAATGTATACTGTCCAAAAATGTTAAACCAATTAAATTTTTTGACGAAAAGACTTACTAGTATGTTTTTCTTACATTTATTTTGCTGCTACCACTTTCTATGACATGCAGTTGCAATTACAGTTCTGTTTGCCATTTTTGTGATATTTTTGTATTTTTTTTTTCCTTCACATATTCATACATATTTTATCAGCCTGGCTTGAGTTATTTTCTATTTTTAAGTGCGATAAATTTTTTTATTTGTGTTTTTAAGTACTCTCTGTCCTGGAGTTGGTGTTTGTTAATCACTCGGACAAAAAATAATATAAATAAATAAAAAAACATAATAGACCATCTCATTACAAATGATAAATTTGACTGCTTTCTCTGAAAATATAAAATAAAAGCCGCATTTTTGAATAAGAATGGTCCAAATGGTGCCTCCAGTCCAAAATCCACACCAAACAGTAACACGTTGTGGATGCATATGTTTTTCAACAATTACTCGTGGATTTTCTGAACCGCAAATGAGACAATTTTGTTGATTAACAAAGCCATCAAGATGAAAATGAGCCTCATCGCTGAAGATGGTTTTTGTTCGAAACGTCAGCATCCACTTGTAGTCCTATAACCTATTCAACGAACTCACTTCGCTCTGCATGGTCAGTATGCTTCAGTTCTTGAGTCAATTGAACATTGTAAGCACGAAAATGGAAATCTTTCGTGAGAATATGCTAGAGAGCTTCTCGAAATGTCTAATTCTCGATCACGGTGCTAAATTCATATTCCTGGACTCTCAGCAACACTCTCTCGAACCGTTTCGATGAATGACTTGTTGAAGGATGGCCAGAGTGTTTGAGATCACTAATTGAAAGAGACCGGCTCCTTGAATTTTTCAATTAATATCCTGGCAGTTGAAGTTAAATCACTATTTCAGCCGTATTTTGTACGAAAATTGCCAACTGTAGTTGCCAAACCTTCATCACTTTTAAAATACTGCTCAAAAATGAAAATGCGTTATTTCGTGTAGTGCCTTCCTTTTTTAATAACCCTGCACTGTCAGCTGTCACGCAGTCCTTTTTTCGTTGGCAACACTTTTCCACGCAAATGGCGCAAAATTCAATTCTTGTGTGAATTTTGAAAAACCCTATATTTAATTAAACAAGCTGACTATATAATTTATGCAAACGCATAAAAATGGCACTGGAGTCATTTACATTGCAAATTGTACCCGTACTTAAAATATATGAATACATTTAGGTTCCAGCTCCTATATCAAACAAAAATCAAGGCAAGTTAACCAGAAACATCTATATTAGTTTTTTCTGTCTGCTACTATTTAGCCCTTACCTGGACCACCCTATATATAACTGCTGAATATATTCTAGTAGATATTTATCAAGTCATTATTAAAAAAATGATCTTTATTTAAAAAAAGGTGTGGTTCATTAGTCTGAAAATGAATTTTACATATTTTCTTTTTATAAACTTGCACAACACAACTTTGATGTCGATTTTGATAAAACATATTTCCTTTCTGTTAAAAAAATCCTTCATCGTTTTGTCTTTAAGTTGATCAAAATCGCCCTCTTTTCACATAACTGATCTTAAAGATGTTTGTCTTCCCCTTACTTAAATCTTAGGGTATTCGTAACCAGTAATCTGAAATAAAATTCTGTTACTAACCTAACAAATGATATTTAAAGCAATTTTTCTCAGTGTAACATGGCACAATGTAACACAACTGAATTTTCTATTTCCTAAAAATATTCTACGAGGTTTGATCAAAGACCAGTAACAACTTAAAGAAAAAAAAAGATCCTCGGGCATGACTCCCTGTGATTTTTTCTTATTTCCCAAAGTTAAGGATACTCAAAGGACGTTTTTTAAAGATTAGATAAAGGCAAAATCGCAAATCGTGTCCAAGACATACCCAAAAAGGCTTTCACAAAGTGGTAATTCTGTTGACATAAGTCTATCACAGGGGCGCTGTTTTGAAGGGGATGGGATAAAAATTGAAGATTAAATAAATACTTTCTGATAAAATTAACAATTGCCCTTAGTTTTTGATCAAACCTTGTATATTAGTACATACCACATTCTTCTAACGGAGACACCATTGGCAGAGAAACTGTTGAAGAATTGGCATTTATTGAGCAGTCTGAAAAAAATGTACATAGTCCTTTTTATGTCCTTTAGACATTTGCACGGTTGAAATTTGAAAAAAATGTGATTTCAATTTATTCAGTTATCTCAAAATATATGACAAGAAATTTTAACTAATGATTCAACTAATTAAAGGCAAAAATTCACTCAATTAATTTATAAATCTGACTTAATAGATAAATCAGTGGAGGAAATACTGGGAGACACTTTGAAGTTTGATATATTTTTTAAATTGTTTATTTCTCTATTTACAAAAGTGAGTTTTTTTTTAAATTTACATCAGCGGTACTGCCCAGCTGAATAAATAGAAAACCACTCTAAGATTACTTGATTTTCGAAGAAAAACAACTAAAAAATGACTTTTTCACATCAAATTAGATATACAGTGTTTCTAGCTTTTGTGTTAGTTAACACTTCCTTAAATACAAACTGGCTGGCGAAATCAAGTGGATTATTTTTTATGGGTAGGTTCCAGAAAGGTCATTTTCCCATTGCAACAAATGCCTGCTTTGATTTTTTTTTATATTTACACTAAATTTTGTATCTATATTGGAAAAAAAATCTATTGGTTATTTTTCTTCGTGCTGATATATTTCAAAAATAAATACAAAAATTAAAATGAGAAATAGTTGTTACTAACAGAAAATTTATATTCTTGTTTTTAAGTTTAAATGTATTTAATTCAACAAATTGTCCTAAAAATCCTATCAAGTGAATTTATTTGAATTAGCTTTAAAATAAAGTAAAAAATATGCCAATTAATAATGAAACACACATATTTTAAAAAAGCTGTCATTGTTAACCATTATTTGTAGTTCACTATTATTTAATTATTTTACTGCACAAAACCAATTAAACACTTTTCTTTTGCTATTTCAGCCAACTGTTTTTGATTCCATGGCATCCTAGATGCTCACAAAATTTTATTTTGCATTTTTCTTCCTTCAAATTTGGTACATAACCATTTTTATTCGTTAAAACAAAATTCTTGACATGGTTTTTTGAACAAATGTACAAGTATAAAAAACCATAGTGTGCCATGCATTCGTGACAAGGAAAATCAATAGAGCCAAGAAGAAATAGAGCCACTTAGTTTTGACAGTTTAGTTGTATTTAAAGGGGTGTAATACGACAAACCAAAATTTGATTTAGTCAAAAAAGACCTAAAAATATATTCAAAAAAATGATTTTCAAAAGTCCAAAAAGATGGTCATCACGGAACTTTCAATAAAAGTAGTTATTAGTAATTTTAGGGAATGAAATCAAAAACTTATCTCCAAGTACAGGAAGTTATGAAATAAATGCAAATATAAATTTTGTACTTACTGAAACTTTCTTGCGAAGATATCAGTGGAGGACCAATTGCAAAGATTCCGGGATTGTTTAATACTGTTTTTTCAGAACCTAAAAAAATACATAAAAGTATTAAAACCAAACAAAACATCGATGAATAATACATATACAATATATCCGTGATTAAATAAGAAAAGGGGAAACATATTTATTTTTCAAAAAGTCATTATTATATTTTTTGCTAGAAATGCAAAATTAAATACAAACAATTTCATTTTTTAATAATTAAGTGTTCCTGGATCAGTCCCTTATACGGCTAGTTTCTTATTTTGGTCGGCCTTCATCTTTAATTTAATTCAAACTGATTACACAACAAATTATCATCAAAAAACATGTTTTTGTTACTGCCACATATTTTAGGTATGTTAAAAATGTTGCTTTGAAATTAAATTGGTTCATGCAAATTTAATTAGTGTTTTCGTTAAAAAAAATATATTACAGTATTTTTATCTCTAGAAAGGAAAATACTTATTCTATAAGAAAAAATATCGGTTCTGTATTGGTCGAGCCATGAGAAAATCCTTACTTTTCCTGTTCCTTACACATAAGCATTACTTTTTTTACTACCACAAAATATTTGCAATAAAATAAATTATAAACAATTTATTTGCAGCGAAAATAAAAATTATTTAAGATATATTGACAATTTCCCTCTGTGTTTCAGTAATCGCCGATATTATCTTAAATCAAAAGACATTTAAATTTATTATTCAACAAAGGTTACTTACATTAATCAAATTTTTTTTTAGTTTCTCGATAATCAAAACATGCTTTAATCCAAAATTAGTCCAGTTAACAGATTGTACTGTACTTACCAATTTCTTTTCCAGAAGATTCTTGTAGATGTGCGACTGCTTCTGGAGCTGAACACATAGCTTCCTCAACTAAACAAACAGCCTCTTCATCTAAAGAAATAGCTTCCCCTCCTAAACAATCAAATTCACAATGACTGTACAGGATACTGCAATATTCCACCAATAAAATAGTTCAGATGAATGTAGATCGCCAAACACTTCGTTTTGAGCTATAATAGGATAAGGTTATATTTATAACTAAAATAATCTTAACTTTATCATTTTATATCTCAAAAACAAATCGTTTGCAGACTTATGTTCTTTTTTTTGTTATTTTTTGTTGGAGAAACAATTTTATTGGTAGAATACTAATACTAATAATACAAAGTGGCACCATTGTTTACGAGCAAAGTGTAGCTTTTACGACAAAAAAGTAAACCGTTTATCGCCACTATTGGTACAGTATAAGAGTCTATAAGCTACGATTTTTAATAACGATGATTTCAAATTTCAGCAATATTTTCAAAAGATTTACAAAAGCTGTGTCTGTAGTTGTGCAGATAACTGACCTTTTATTGTGGGAAATGCAAATTTTTTCAGTCGAACGCCCGCAAACATTTCTCCAGCAAAATGCAAGCTACAGACTCTGTAATTTTTCCTATGTAATTCCTCTGGAGAAAGATGCTTCAGGTCTTCCCGACCGCAATACTTCAGCCATACTTCGCATCTAATAAGAGGTGTTTGTTAATATTAATTTATTATATCTATATTATTTACCTTTGCCGATCTTTTGGAAATCTGAAAAGACTGTGTTTCTTCGCATTTATATTGACCGCGTATCTGTTGGGGCACGTTAATAGACAACATAGATTTGTCACTGAAGGCATTTTAACACAAGTAAAATATAATTAAAAAAAAAATCAAAAATGGTGCAATAAGTTAGGTTAGACATGTCAGTTGTCAATTTCAAAATCTAAATCTATTAGTTGCTTTCCAATGTAGGTACTTCAGATCAGATTGACCTCTTGGGTATGTACCAATCACAATAAACTAAAGTGTAGAATTGTGTAGTTGAACGAACTAATTCAAATGAATTATTTTCTGTGGTAAACTAATGGCGATTTCCATTGACACTATAGACGTTGAACACTTGCGAACACCAACAGCCGGATTCATGAAAGGGGCGTAAGGCGTTAGTCGGACGAAAGAGTTTTTCACAAAAAATGCGCTTCCCTTGCGCCTTTTATTTGCGCTAATAGTTACGTCAAAATTTAGACCTACATGACATGCATAAAAATCGTGCAACTTAAGGTGTAGTTTATTAAATTCATTGCAATTTATTTTTTTAATTGCAATAAGTATATTATTATAAGTATTTCTAGTGCTTCATAATAGTTTAACCACAAGACAATAGACGTGGCATTATAACTAATAGTTGCGCCTTCGTCGCGCACTTTTTGTGAATGGGACTACGCTTTTTATTTAAATTCGCGCAATACGGGCGCAAAATTTTTGCGCAACTTCCGTTAGTCAGACTAACGTTACGCCTCGTTGATGAATCCATGTGCCAGTGTTTAACGTCTAATTGACCTGTGATCATTTAGTCCACGACGTGAATTAAGCGATCACAGTTTTACTTCTTAGTTTATCGCACAAACAAACAAGTTTACGAAAAGAACTTACGCATGTCAACTGTCGGGCTCCAGCACAAAACAGATAAAAGAGCAAGCCAGCAAGTGTGAGGAAGGAGAAATAATAGATAACAGATTTTTACCTTTCGCGATATAAAAATAATTAGTGGCATAGGGCATTTTATTATAATTAGATAGAACACATTCGATTTTATGCATGGGTAGATTTTTTATTTAGGAAAATCGGAGATATCGATGTCGTTCCTTGATTTATATTTTCTTATAAATCATAACTTATGATAAAGACTGAGCAGTTCACGAACAAGATTAATCATACTTCAAGCTCAAGTATCTTTTTAAAGTGTAATTTTATTTTGCACCAATATAAGGGAAAAAGAAGTTAATAATAATAATTTTGAATGTTATTACTATAGGTATACTCACTATTACGGTTAGATGTGCTTATAACTTATAAACTTGCTAGACAGGAAGAGTAAATATCTTTCCTTTATGTTAGTAAGTATTAAGTTATAAGTATAACAATTGTGCGAAAGCAACTTGGATATTTCTTGTTTTAAAAGTTTAGTACTTAATTAATATTTTTATATTACTTAATAATGCAGAACTGATTTTTTCTACTTTGAGGAATATGGCCTAACCCTATTTCATTATAGTTATCTGTTGAATTATTATATTATAAGAATTGCATAAACACTCCACTTTTTCAACAGCTTTGAGTTTATACATCATTATATATGCATTATGAATAAATTTTAGTGGATGAACTAAAGTAAAGTGAACTGAAGAATTAGTTCCATGAATTGTACATTTTAAGGTGTGTTTTGGTTCCGACAGAGAACAATTCTAGAACGGTTCAAATTAGTTGACATTCCAGTCATAAGAATATCTAAACCAAGATATACTTACACTAACAGTACTTTTGGGTAGTTATTCTGAATTGTTCTAGGACTGTCCGCTGACCGCAAATGCGGCCGGTGTAGGCGCTTTGTGGGACTTTATTCTTTTGTCCTGGCTGGGCCCCGCCGGCTAGGGCCCTTTCTTCTGCCAGTAGATATTTGAGGGAATACCCCTATCTATATTTTTTTGTTAATGTGACCGAATCGTGGAAATAAGGTCTGTTTATTTATATTTTCACTAATAATTAGGGTAATTTCATTATTTTTGTCACTTTCCATTTTATTTTATAAATTGCATGATATTTTATGTGTAAAAATTTTCAATAAAAGCACGAAATCATTTTAAAAATCTTGTTACAATTGGAACTGGCCCAAGAATGTAAATAAATCTTATTTCCAGTATTCACTCACATAAATAAAAAATATATATACAGGGTGTCTCCAGTTCGGGTTGCCTATACCTGAAATGGATACAAAATTTCAATTGTCAAAAAAAATCATACTTCATAAAAATTTTTGCTTGTCCAGAAGCCCTTGGCAAGATAGTCATTTGTTCAATTTAATGTACAGGGTGTTAAAAAATTTGGAAAAGGTAAAAACAGTGAAGAGTAAAGTACCTTAAATCTTAACGCTACGTGAAAAAGTAATGGGGAAAAGTTGCTTGGAATTAAAAATTTTATCTTTAAATATGAAAGAATGGCCTTCTAGTTAATACTCGACATTCTGGGATATTCTAGGATTCTACTTATTTTATAATACTTTCGGAAGTCATTCTATTTAAAAAATATTGCTTTATTGAAAAACAGATACTCTACACATGTTTGCATATTAATAATTTATTTTTTATACGGGGGGATCAAAAACCTCAAATAGCAAATTTAAATCAATATACGTACCTAGAGATGCTAGACACGTTTTTCTGACCAGAATTAGAAGAACATTTGGAATATAGACAAAAAGCGTATTTTCAACAAGATGGATGTCCCGCTCACTGAACAATTCTAGTCGGCAATTGGCTTAACAGAAAATTTCGAGAGAAGTGGATAGGAAAATATGGTCCTATTTGTTGGCCAGCAAGGTCCCCTGACTTGTCGCCGCTTGATTATTTCATTTGGGGAGGGGGGGGGGGCTTCTTGAAAGAAAGACTGTACAGAGAACCAGTGCAACACAATGTTGATTTCTTGAAAAGCAGGATAATTGAAGCTGCTGCCCAAGTAAATGAAGAAATGATACATTCGACCTATGCTGCATTTAGAAAAAGATTGGAGAGGTTTGTTGAACTTGGCGGACTTCATGTAGAATAGTTTTGTAGTGGCGCATACATACTCTGACTTTGCCGTGTTCTCAAAATAAATGTTGGATTAATGTTTTTGATGTTTTTGATCCCCCTGTATAAAAATATTAATATGCAAACATGTGTATCTGTTTTTCAATAAAGCAATATTTCTTAAATAGAATGGCTTCTTCGAAAATATTAAAAAATAAGTAGTGTCCTAGAATATCCCAGAATGTCGAGGATTAACTAGAAGGTACTTGACATTTAAATAATTAAATAAGGCAAACTTTCAAAGAAATTATCACTTTTAAAATTAATTATTAATGGGCGCCGCCCCACAACCCCCCCCCCCCTCCCATGCACCCCTGCACCGTCCGCCACTGGCTCTAGGTCTAATTGTCCATGACTGTGGCGATGATACTTTGCTGTTTAAGCGAAAAATGGAATTTAAAGTACAATTTATTTGTACTTTGAATTTGAAGAAATTTATGACGCAGGATAATAAAGAATCAAATTTGGTAGAATTTTTTTGAGATACTTTTGTCCATTTACAAACAAAATTTCGTATGAACGCAAAAATATTATTTGTATTTTCTAACATGGACCAGCCTCTACTCTTATTTTTGCCTATTCATTTCCTATGTATTTATTTGCCCTTTTAACTAAATTGTTTTCTTTCTAATTGATGTCAATCTGATGAGAACTCTTAGACTTGACTTGAATTAGCATAATATCATTTACAATAAAGTATAAATACAAATGCTATTATTAAAAATATATTATAAAAAAAAACATAAGTAGTTTACTTTTTAAAGACGAGTCTATAAAATTTGGTTTATACATAATCTACATACTTCAGCAGATAAGATAGATTTAAGTACTTATACTAATAAATATTAACAAAGTAGGTACGTTAATTATATTAATAATAAACACTTCATGGGACATACGTTGCAAGTTTATATTTTGTCGTATATTACGAATTTTAAAAATCGAAATATAAATAGTATGTACCTTAATTTCGATGCATTAAAACATGATAGTTATATTTCAAAACGCTTATATAGGCATAGATAATAATAATCTTACTGTTTATTATAATTAATAGTAATTTAATTTCTAAAATATTTTTTTTGTAACGGCAGTATTAATGTCACCATAATATCCATTCTAATCTTTACTGATCGTTAATCGAATTGTGCTGAGATTGGCCGATAATCAGAATATCTCCTGAATAAATTATTAATCTCTAATCTGTGTTGATGAATAATTACGATTATCACAAATAAAACCATAGAATTTTTTACTAAGAAGCTCTTTATCACTCCACTCATGGCCATGAACTCATAATTACCACTGTTTCTAATGTTTACACAGTGTAGTGTGTAGTTAGAATTTTTAGTTTTTTTTTTGAAGTTTCTATCGGACTTTTCTGTAAAAAAGTAAGTGAAGTTCATATATATCCTTAACAATAATAATATTATCGATTGTCGACATTAATGGCAGCAGATTTGAGCAAATTTTTAATCATAGGTAAGTGTATAATTTAGTAAATCAATTCAAATTAAAAGTAATGTGAATTATGATATTAATTTAATGTGCTAGAAGGATCAATTTTAGAATCTTTCTTTTTATTATCCGTACCTACGTACCTACCTATATTATTATTTCACACTTTTTGTTAAACAAAAACAATTCTACCGTGGATTTATAAGTACACAAAAGCAAGCTTTAATTTTTTTTCAGAACAAAATTTATTATAACTTAATTGCTTCCTAGAATTGTGAAATAAATAAAAATAAAAAAACTTGTCTGATATTAGGAGATATATCACAGTTTTCATCATAAATTGTTATCTTCAGTACCTATTGTTTTTACTGTAGGCATGTTTTATACTTTTAATAATTTGAAATTATCAGACATTATCTGTTTCATAGTTTGTCATATCTGTCTTGTTTGATTCCTAAATTCGGGAAAGCTTAAAAACGGAACAATTGGTTTTATAATTTACACTATCAAATAAACCAAAGTAACGGTTTACACGTCCCATAAATTTATACGTTTGTAGCGTCGGTATCCAAAGGGCATTGCGGTCGATGCCCGGAGATCTGAAAAATGTATCAATAGTATTGATTACATTTATAATTTTTATTACCGTATAACGTGTATAATAATACTTTAATAATAAACTGCCCTTTTTGAAGCACGCTTTCTTTTAAAGCAGTGATTTTCTTAGGGTTAATCAATTTACTACTTATGGCTAAAAGATATTTCTCTCAGTGTATAGTGTAAGCATGAAATCATAAAGGACACTAAAAATAATTTAAAGTATTTCTTTATTTCTATTTATCTATTTTATAATTATATATATATAATATAAATTTTGTTTACGGGGGTTATCAAATATGCTCTCTTCAATGAAAATAATAACGTAGCACTTTTAGTTATACCGGAAGTAGCTGTCAACTTCATTATTTCTGTTGATTAACTTGTTTGCTTTTCTATTAAATTATTATTCCAACTTTTTCCAGATCGTCAAGTTTGACGATTAAAATCATAGCCAACTTTTGAATTTTCGAAGATTTTATAAAACACAGCACAACAAAACGTATTATTAGTTATTCGTGTTTTTATTGAAAATGACAAGGTTCTAAAGTTCAACTGAGATATATATGTTTCTTTTCGAAATTTGAAACCCAACATTCAAGACCTATAACTTCTCAGGCATGCAGCTTAATATAAAGCTACACACTACTGTGTGTCGGTTCTTATGTGAAACACTGTATATTTTCTCATTATTAAAAAGAGGTAACAAACGTGAAATAACCAACTTTATTAATGTAATTATAAAAAAATAATATTTTAAAGTTCTACAAAGAACGCTATTGTTATCTAGTTAGCTGTTAAAATGCCAAAGAAGTAGTCACTGTTCTGGTTATCTGTTTATACAACATTACAACAAAGTATAGTAATGGATGAAAATTTTATAGGTTCCTAAATTACCTGAAATGGCAGACAAGTATAAAAAGCATAAAGGCAGCGCTGGTCTCGAAGGGGTACAATTTCAATTAGATCTGTTGACTGTGGCGCTGGTAAACGCACTTCACAACCATCAAAAGTGGAAGATATCGACGGAAAACAAGGAGGCGGGAAAGTACGATGACATCGTCATAGAACTGTCTGACGAGAGCGCCGTTCTTGTTCAGTGTAAACACAAAGACAGTAAGAAAATCACCAAAGACCAACTATTCTCGCACAGCTCCAAAAACGCAGACTTTAGTCTACCAAAGTATTTCCTGTCCTATGAAGAAATTAAGCGTAAATTTAAAGAGAGGACTGTAATCATTTGCACCAACGCTGCCATCAATTTGAAGGGCCTAGAAAACACCGTAACCTCCCAGGATGCAGGTATTGACAGTATGTTTTATTACGAGGGTTGTTCCTATTTTACTTTCAGTGAAAATATTTTGCCGGATTTAAAAAGGAGCGCGCAATGCTACCTTAAAGAAAACTTGCAAAGCAGATGCATAGATAAGGCAACGATAACGGATGAAAGCTTGAAGGATTTCCTGAGAAATTTACAATTTTTTTCAAGCTACCCCAGTAGAGAAGATCTACATAAAATTATAGAACAGAGACTGTCGGATTTCCATCATTCGAATTTATGGTGCAAAATATCTTACGACGAAATCTACAGGAAAATAGAAGACTGGTTCAAACAACCGAAGGGCGAATATTTAACGGAGCTTCGCGTCAAAGCGATATTGTGTGAAATGAGAAGCGATAAATACAGCAAATCGCTGAGAGACTACAAGGTATCATTTGAACGCAACGATTTCGACTTTACCGATTCGAATAAGGTTGTCCACGTAAACGTTGGCGGGGGATATTTGCTGCAGACGTTAAAAATTTTTCACAAACTCGAAGATGTTAAAGAAAGGAAACTCTATGTCGGTCCCGATGACGATATTGACGCACTAACACAAATAATAGAAACATTTGAACTGCGTCGCTATGCGATTTTAATAATAAATTGGTCTAAAAATATGGACGAAGCCGTAGTAAAGGAAATTGGTATCAAATTGAGAACAGTTTTACAGGAGTGCCAGGGCAAGAAGGTTATCCTTGTGGGTAATAACAGATTGGTCCAGCATATCGGACTGAAAGACACGTTCCAAGTTAACGAATCCGTGACCTTCCTCGATCTCACAAAGGAATGTCAAAATATGCTGCTAAAGCGAAAAAACATAGTCTTCCAAGGCGAAACAACTAACCTAGAAGAACTACTTTTAATGCACAAAGTTGAAGAGATTACGAAACTTTTAGATTCTGATACGTTAGAAAAATTAATCAAAAGCGAAGCAATCGCGGTGGGGACACGGCTCTTAGATTTGGATAAAACCACGTCCCGATATTACGTAAACCGTACATTCGAAAGAAAATTCAACAGAAGGGAAAGAAGGGAAGACACGTTTCCGGAAGAGAATATCTTTGACGTGAACGAAAAACTAATATTAATAACAGATACTGCAGGGACAGGCAAAACCACCGTTCTGACGAGATTGTCGGTAGCCATAAAAGAAAAGAACCCTCGCTTATGGATCATAAGAGTTAACCTTAATGATTACACGAAGGTTTTAAGAGATTCGCAGAAACAAAACGAAAGAACTATAAATATAACCGACTTTCTGGATTCTCAGGAAGCTGCTAGACTGACACAGTTCGAACAATCTGTCTTTTCGATGGACAAAAAAGTAGTTTTATTGCTGGACGGTGTTGATGAGGTCAGTCCAGACCACACGAGTCTGATGCTCGGTTTACTTATTGAGTGCCAAGAGGCCCCCAATTTTGCTAAAATTATCGTAACCACCAGGCCCCACGTTTCTAAGGAATTAGAAGCGGTCTTGAAGGTTACACCATTTAGAATGCTTTCGTTCACGCAACAAGACCAGATAGACTTCCTTACTCGGTACTGGGCAAGTAATCTGTCATCAGAATCCGACGCGGATAAAGATAAATGCGAGTGGTATGCCAAGACGTTGATAGCCAAAGTGTCTACATGGATAAAATCGTATGATCACCAAGGCTCCCTAGCCGCCATACCGTTACAAGTGAAGATGTTGGGGGAGATTTTTGAGGAGAATATTATGCGCGATGAAACTGTTCTACGATTGCCTGAAAAATTTGACATCACAAAACTATACGACATGTTTATCGAAAAAAAGCGGGAAATCTTCATAGGCAAAGGGAATACAGGTGGGAATACGCTGTCGGAACTGGCGATCAAAGACCAGTTCGAGATATGTCTTGCATATCACCGCAACCTCGCTTTAGAAGTGATTCTGACTAAAGCAGATACTGATTTATTCTCGAATTGTTGTAGAAGTGACAAGGACATGGAGACGTACCTTTTAAAAATAGGAATCGTGCAAAAATCCGATGAGGAATACCAATTCATACACAGGACTTTTGCAGAGTACTTTGTGGCTCAGAGCGTTCTGAGGGAGATACATCTCGAAAATCAAAATGTACTGTTTCATAGGTTTCTCATCGACGAATTGTTATTGAAACCGGAATTTGAGGTTATCCGTGCTTTCTTCGACAGTCTGTTGCAGAACTGTAGTTTAAATTATAATTTATTTGAAAACTACCTTTCCTTTACATACGAAAGCAGCTTGAGGTACTGGAAGTGCAACGAAAATCTCATTTTTGTGCTTTCAGGGGAAGGTCACGTGGCAATTCTCCATCTTATTCTAAAAAGCATACATTTCAAAGCTACCGGGGGTCAAGAAATCAACATCAAACACTGGCGAGTCGACAGAAAAAATATGAACACGCTGAGATATCTAGGGACCCTCGTGCGAGAAGGTGGGGTAAATATTAGGGACGAGAATGGTTATATGCCTTTGCATCGAGCCATCATGGGATGCCATTTCGAGATGGTAAAGTTTCTGGTGGAACAAGGCGCTAATGTGGACGGTACAGATGAAGAACGTAACACGGGTTTAATTTTAGCGGCTTCTGAGGGTTGCTTGGACATTATCAACTTGCTTCTACAGCACGGCGCAGCTATTAATATTACAAATAACGACGGTCGTACGGCGCGGCACGAAGCCGCCGAGTGTGGTTATTTGGACATTGTGAAACACCTCGTGGGTTCTAATGCAGATTGTAATATTAAAGACAATTATGGTCGCACGGTACTGCATTTAGCTGCTCAAAGTGGCCACTTGGACGCTGTCGAATACCTCCTGGGGCTTGGTGCAGACTTTGATGTGAGAGACAATGATGGCAGCACTGTGCTACACCTAGCTTGCGCGCGAGGTTGTTTGGACACTGTTAAATATTTCGTTGGACTCAATGCCGATGTGAACGCTAAAGATAAGAATGGACAAACATTGTTGCACGTAGCTTCTGAGTGCGGTTATTTAGAAATTGTTGAGTATCTGACGAAGCACGTCGATTCCAATATTAGAGACAATGAAGGTCATACAGCGCTTCATTTAGCTGTTATGAAAGGTATGTATATGGTATATATTTTTTATTAAATACGCAGAGTAAATTTTAAGTGTGAAAGTACACAACAGGGTGGCCAAATGAAAACGAAACAGAGCCATTTTCAGGAACTGCGACAAGATTGTAGAAAAACGCTCAAACCCGTCGATTTTAGATTAAAGGGGGACATTCTTTGCTGGTATTTTTGACTCCGCCACTTTCACCCCCAAGCAAGGGTAAGCATCACCCCAACATATTTAAACGGCATTGGGGGTTGAGTAATATTTCTTTTGAAAGCTCTTACAATTCTCTTTACAACAGACTTTCAATTTTATAATTCCGTCCAATACTTATTAAGAATTTTGATTTTAAAGTTGAAACTTATGTACAAACAATTAGTAACGTTAGAAATGTCGGTCATTCGAGTTAAGTACGCCAATGGTATAAATTTAGTATTTCTTGCGTTACATTGGTTTTTGGCGATTTGCTATCACTTTCGTAAAAAAACACACAATTGTAAAAAACAAATGAATGCTATACACACACAATGAACGTAAAATTAGTGGATTCCAAATTATTTTCTAGTATTATTTGGAAGCGTTGGTTGGTAGTTTATTTAATTGTGTTTTTGAAAATTAAACACTATGGATTATTCCATTGCGGAAAGGATAGATATCATTTCGCTTTACTTTATGAACAATAAATGTGCGAATAGAACAGCTCAACTATTTAATGAACAACATCAAGATCGACATGTCAGGAGGAAGTATGTTCTAGAGTTAGCAAAAAAAATTCAAGAGATAGGGGACGTAGCCAATAAGAAATGAGAAATTGAAAAACCTATAATTAATGAAGCTAGTGAAGTTGCAGTTTTGGGACAAGTTCATCTTGATCCTACGTTAAGTACGAGGCAGCTGGCATCTGTGTCTGGGATCAATCGAACTAGCATACAAACCATTTTGAAGAAGAATAAATTCCATCCATACAAAATACATTTAGCCCAGGAACTTCATGAGGATGATTATGACCGCCGTTTGCAATATTGCAAAATAATGAGTGAGCGGGCAGGGAACGATCCACAGTTCCTTTTTAACATGTTTTTCTGATGAATGCAGTTTTTTCTTGAACGGGACGGTAAATCGTCACAATTGCCGCTATTGGTCCGATTCAAACCCCAGAGTTTTTCACGAGATGCATACACAGCAACCAGAAAAATTAAATGTATGGACTGGAATTTTCGGTGACCGGCTAGTGGGTCCTTTTTTTTCTACCAATTTGACTGGCCAAATGTATTTGCAATTATTGGAAGACGCGAATGACCCTGCCTTGAATTATATTATTGAAAATGTTCCATGATGAAGATCATTTGATGTTTCAACAGGACGGTGCTCCTCCGCATTATGCGTTAATTGTCCGTTAGTATTTGGACCAACGTTTTCTACGGAATTGGCTTGGTAGAAGAGGCAGCATTGAGTGGCTTCCACGATCACCGGATTTATCGACCCTTGATTTCTTTTTGTTGGGATACCTAAAAAGTAAAATCTATAAAACACAGCCAGCGTCGCTGGAAGATTTACTTCAAAGAATCGTCGACGAATGCCGTCGAATCACTCCGGAAATGCTTCGGAATGTGCGCGAACGTTTCGAACAAAGTCTTCATTCTTGTATGGACGGTCATTAATTTGAACATTTAATCAACTAAGTAGTAAGTAAGCAACTAAACATAATTTAAATTTTAAATGTGAATTTTTTTCAAAGTATTGGGCGGAATTATAAAATTTAAAGTCTGTTGTAAAGAGAATTGTAAGAGCTTTCAAAAGAAATATTACTCAACCCCCAATGCCATTTAAATATTTTGCGTTAATGCTTACCCTTGCTTGGGGGTGAAAGTGGCGGAGTCAAAAATACCAGCAAAGAATAATGCCCCCCTTTAATTTAAAATCGACGGGTCTGAGCGTTGTTCTACAATCTTGACGCAGTTCCTGAAAATGGCTGTTTCGTTTTCATTTGGCCACCCTGTATGTATTCCTTTATATGATTTTTTTATCCTGCTGACCTGAATTAAATATTTATAACTAAAACAACTGTTATTATAGGTTATTTGGAAATTGTCAAGTATCTCAAAAAAGACGACCAAGATTTCGGCATAAATGACAACAAAGGCCGCACTTCACTACATCTAGCTGCCGCTAACGACTTCTTAGAAATCGCCTCGGAAATAGGTGGAGAAGTTAATGTCACTGATAATAACGGATGCACGCCACTACATCTAGCTGCTGGAAAGGGCTATATGGACATTGTCCAATACCTCGTCGAAGGCGGTGCAGACATCAACGCCAAAGACAATAAAGGGCGTACGGTACTTCACTCTGCTTGCTTAACGAACAAATTAGATTGTATTAAATATCTCATGAAACGTGGTGCAGATTGTAATACGAGAGACAACAGAGGTTGTACGGTACTGCATTTGACTGCTGCGGATGGCTATTTAGACACCATTATGTTCCTTGTAGGACTCGGTGTAAACTTTAACATAAAAGACGACAACGGTCGTACGGCATTTCACTTCGCCGCCTTGAAAGGGAAGTTACGCACCGTTAAATACCTCGCAGGACTCGGTGTTGATTTAAACATCAAAGACAACGATGGACAATCTGCCTTACATTACGCCATTTTTAATGACACCTTGGACACTGCCAAATACCTGACGGAACAAGGTGTAAATCCTAATATTAAAAATAATCACAGCCGTACGCCACTGCATATTGCTGCCCTATACGGTAAACTGGACGCTGTCAAATATCTCATGCAACTCGGAGCAGATTCTAACATTAAAGACGAAAACGGCAAAACGGCATTTGATTACGTTGATAACGGAGACTTTGTCAAATTCATTATGGAACTTGATATGAAATCTAATAATTCAGATACTGTTGAGATTCCATTATTTTTCGAAATTGATGTGACCGAGGAAGACAACATGATGAATATCGAACAATTGGTTACTAATTTGGATACTGTTACAGATATAAGTGAGAGTGAGTTGTACTCTCTTGAACTCAATGTCGATAGTACTGAAAATCTAAGTAATAGAAACCTTTACGCGGAGGGAAATGGTGAATTGGACACAATTAAAAATGCGATTGGACTTCCTGAACACAGTTTGAATGACAATATTACCTGCAATGACAACTCCACTATACCGAATTTGTCTGCTCATAATAATGATTTGAACACTGTTAAATACTCGAATATAAATGAAGTTGAGTTGAACTCTATCGAACCCAATGTTGAACGTGCTGTAGATTTACATAATGATGAATTGGACATTAGTAAAAACACGGCAATTGAACAAGCTGTAGATATAATTAGTGGATATAACATTAAAGGTGAGTTGAACACTGTCACATTCTTTTAATGTAGTTTAGATAATATTACAGGCAGAGCTAATTCCATTATACTGAATTTGACTGCTCCAAACATTGGTTTGGACACAGTTGAAAATTTTATTGAACATGCTGCAGGTTTAAATAACAGAGACATTATTCCCGCAAACAATAATGGCTCTACTTTACTGAATTCCGCTACCGTGAAAGGTGATTTGGATACAGTAAAACACTCAGATACAATTGAGAATGAGTTGTACTCTCTTGAACTCTCTGTGGAACGTACTGTAGATCTAAATAATAGACAAGTTTACGTGGCACCAAATGGTAAATTAAACACTACTGTAGATGGAAACGGTGGCGATAATATTCAAGGTGAGTTGAACACTGTCAAATATTTCTTTAAACACATTAAATGAAAATATTACAGGCTATAACGACTCTACGTTGCCGAATTTGAACGGTGATTTGGACACTGTTAAGAGCTTCGATATAAATGAAAGTGAGTTGGGCCTTCTTGAACTCTCTGTCGAACGTACTGAAAATTTAAATAATCAAGACCTTCATACGGGGAGAAATGGCGAATTGGACACCATGAAAGATGTGATTAAGCATGCTGTAGATGTAAGCGATGACAACACTATTCAAGGTAAGTTGAACACAGTGAAACATTTCTTTGAGCACAGATTTCATGAAAGTGTTACAGGCAATGATGACTTCACTTCAACAAATTTGATTGTTCAGGATAGTGATTTGGACACTGTTAAACACTCAGGTAAAAATAAAGACGAATTGGCCTCTGTGGCGCTAAATGATGAATTGAATACTAGTGGAAACGTAGGTGAAATTAGTAGAGACAATATTTCCACTGCTCTTCATTCGTTTGGCCAAGGTGAGTTGAACAGTGTTAACTTCTTTGAACACAATTTCAGTGTAAATATTACAGATAATGATGATACTGTGGTATCAAATTTGTTTGCTCAGAACGATGACTTAGAAATTGTGAAACAGTTCGCAGAACACGATGTTGATGATATTATAAGTAATGATGACCACACAGCATCGCATTTACCTGCTGAGGAGGGTGATTTGGACAAACAATTCATTGAAAAAGTATCAAAAGTACAAATTAAAGACAATAACCAAGGCCGCACGACTTTGCAATCAGGCACCGGGCAGAGTAAGTTATATAGAGGATATAACTTTGAATAACCATTAGAAATTAGAATAGAGCAGTGTGCATGGGGGTGTAAACTTCCAAAATGCAACAAATGTTCGATGGCGACCGCTCTGCGCGGGTTGGTCCGATCGGGGTGATTGCGGTGTCGTTGTGTAAGTTGGTAGGCTCTGCGACAAATACAAGTGGACCGGGCATTTCACGATGGGATGGAGGAGAAAATATTTTGGATATTCGACGTTTTGGCTATTTTTATAAAATTGTCGATGTTTAATAAGGGAGATTCTTAATTTTCGGCGAAAGTGGCATAACCCCCTGTATCTCTCTTTTTACAACAGATATTGTAAAATGGTTTAAATATTCTCCAGACACTTTTTTGAGATACGTGCCACGAGAAAAATAATTTTTTGCGTTTGTTTTATTTATTTCTTATTTTGTTTATTTTGAATTAGTCAAATTGTCGTTTTATTTATTTTTAGTTTTGTTTATTTTGTGTCAATTAAATTGTCACTTGTCAGCGTTTGTATAAATATACATAAATAAATTTGTAACAATTTATATTCCTGTGATAAGGTGTATTATTCTTTTTAAGATTTCAATTCAAAGTAAAATAAATAAGAGATGTAGAATGTTATGCCAATAACTGTAGATATTAATTAAATGTCTAAAATACATTTTTTTACATTTGTTAATTATATTTACTTTTTGTGAAATTGATTTTAATTTCTTCTTTACTTTTTAGATAATCAGAAAAAGACCCGATGTCCGTTATGCAAAATTATATAAATCTGTTACATTGGAAAGAAAAATACTGATATTAGTAAGGGGTAAGCTAAACTTACATGTTTTCAAATTGCGACGTATTTATCAACAAAAAATTTAAATTTTCTCCACTTGTTTCAGAAAACATTCAACAAACTCTGTTCACTCTGCGTGGTCAGTAGGCTTCAGTACTTGTTTAACCAATTGAACTTTGTAAGAATAAAAATGCAAATCTTTCATGAGAATACGCTGAAAAGAGCTTCTCGAAATGCCCAGTTCTTGACCACGGTGTCGATATGACGTTCCTGTGGACTCTCCGCAACGAACTGCTTCTATCCTAGATTATATACTTCGATGAGTTTCAGCCACTAATTGCTCCAGACTCCCTGAATTTTACAATTAATCTCTTCACAGTTAGTTGATGAAGTTTAATTACTATTCCGACCAAATTTTCTACGAAAATTGCGAACTGTAGCTGTCAAACCTTCATTATATTAAAAGTATTGCTCAATAATGAAAACGCATTGTTTTTTCGTGTAGCGCTCCATTTTTAATAACTCTAAACCATAGACCTAGTAAACTATGGACTGGCCCTAGAAAGAGAGGTCAATCGCGCTGATGTGTGCAAGGCAGATGAAGCTAGTTGAGGCAAATACCGATAAAACAAATGATGGTATACGGGTATACCGGTACAAAATGCCGTAAACAAACTTTGAAGTAAACGTCATGTATTGACATTATTGATTGATTTCTTGAATTTTTGTGCGATTTAGTGTATTTGAAAGATTTGTAAAAACTAAATATGGTGTAATCGTGTTCTGTGATAAATTGCGTAAAGAGACGTTTTAAGTGAAAACTGAAAATAACGACCAAGTAAAGTTGTCTCTGATGATAACTTAGTAGATTATATTATTTCCCCCATTCTCAAAATAAACTATCATTTTAACGTCAAAATTTTGCCGTTTTAAATGTGTTACTCTTCAAATTATTTTTTAACATCAAACCGAATATAAAGAAAAAGTTTTAACTGAAATGTACTTATAATGTGCTCCAGCAAAAATTCTCTTCAAATAATATGTTGAACAAAGAAAGCATCGATATAGTTTCAATTTATACAGTTCTGCAAAGCAAGAAAATATGAGATATTTGAAACAACTACGTCAGAAGAGCTTGCAGTAATTTTAACCCCGATCGAGTTTACGATATGAGGAAAATAAATGGAGAAATACATAAATAAGGCATTATAAAAACTATTTGGAATATTATAGCTAAAACAATTCAAATATTGTACTGTAATTAGGACAGTAATATAATTAACCCTTTTATATACTTACACTACTAGAAAACATGATTTTTTTTTTGTCTTTTAGCCTCTATATTATTTTTATAGTCTTTGAATAAGGCCCAACAGAAAAACGGGGTAAGGAATCGAGTATAGCTAGCTGATTAGTTGAATTAAATGTAGCGCATTGCAATCGAAATTCTGTGAACGAAGCTTAAGCTCTTACTAGCTCCATCTGTCTCGCACACGTCCGAGCAATTGCCGTTTATACAGGGTGTCTCATAATTAGCTGCCAACCCTGAACAGGCCGATTCTATGATCAAAACTAAGTAAAAAAGTTCATATGAACATGGGTCCGGAAATGCTTCCGAAGGGCACAGGGACCCATTGAAGAGGGAGGAATGGANGGTAGTGTCATGTTTATGTGTGGTATGGTTGGGTAGGGTAGTGCGGCTATGCAGCCTGGGATGCGCTTTGCTAAGGTGGCCCTTAGGCTAGCGCGGGAGGGGAGGGGTAAGGAGGGTATGGGGGTGCGTATGTGTGTGTGTGTGTGTCGTTGTCTTCGTTTCTTGATCCTGGCTGTCTCTGAAACAGAAAAGGTTAGCGGGCAGGGGGGCATTATAACTAATAGTTGCGCCTTCGTCGCGCACTTTTTGTGAATGGGACTACGCTTTTTATTTAAACTCGTGCAATACGGGCGCAAAATTTTTCCGCAACTTCCGTTAGTCAGACTAACGTTACGCCTCGTTGATGAATCCGTGTGCAAGTGTTTAATGTCTAATTGACCTGTGATCATTTAGTCCACGACGTGAATTAAACGATCACAATTTTTCTTCTTAGTTTATCGCACAAACAAACAAGTTTACGAAAAGAACTTACGCATGTCAACTGTCGGGCTCCAGCACAAAACAGATAAAAGAGAAAGCCAGCAAGTGCGAGGAAGGAGAAATAATAGATAACAGATTTTTACCTTTCGCGATATAAAAATAATTAGTGGCAGAGGGCATTTTATTATAATTAGATAGAACACATTCGATTTTATGCATGGGTAGATTTTTTATTTAGGAAAATCGGAGATATCGATGTCGTTCCTTGATTTATGTTTTCTTATCATAAATCATAACTTATGATAAAGACTGAGCAGTTCACGAACAAGATTAATCATACTTCAAGCTCAAGTATCTTTTTAAAGTGTAATTTTATTTTGCACTAATATAAGGGAAAAAGAAGTTAATAATAATAATTTTGAATGTTATTACTATAGGTATACTCACTATTACTGTTAGATGTGCTATTACTATAACTTATAAACTTGCTAGACAGGAAGAGTAAATATCTTTTCTTTATGTATAGTAAGTATTAAGTTATAAGTATAACAATTGTGCGAAAGCAACTTGGATATTTCTTGTTTTAAAAGTTTAGTACTTAATTAATATTTTTATATTACTTAATAATGCAGAACTGATTTTTTCTACTTTGAGGAATATGGCCTAACCCTATTTCATTATAGTTATCTGTTGAATTATTATATTATAAGAATTGCATAAACACTCCACTTTTTCAACAGCTTTGAGTTTATACATCATTATATATGCATTATGAATAAATTTTAGTGGATGAACTAAAGTAAAGTGAACTGAAGAATTAGTTCCATGAATTGTACATTTTAAGGTGTGTTTTGGTTCCGACAGAGAACAATTTTAGAACGGTTCAAATTAGTTGACATTCCAGTCATAAGAATATCTAAAACATTTTTTTCCTGATTTTTTTACATTCTTATTGCAGAAAGTGTTTGAAATTAAGAAAAAAACAAAATTAGTGTATTTAAAAACAAAAGTCAATTCATTTTTTGAAAAAAGTGATCAGTAGTCTATTTGCCGTGCTCAGAAGCGATCGACGTATAAAATATTGTCTTAAGAGGGTTCTATAGCAAATACGTTTTTATAGATTTTATTACACAGTTTGTCTAAATATGAATTAATGCACAAATAACAGGCTTTCTTCCATTCTAAGGCAGGTTTTCTATAAAATGGAGTTAGTTTGGGACTCAAATTACTTTGTGTTGTAAAAAAATTTGTAATTTGCTGCTTCCGAACAGGCAGCATCATAAATTCATATTTAGGCAAACTGTGTAATAAAATCCATAGAAATGTATTGCTGGTTGCCTATTTGCCATAGAGCCCTCTTACAATTAACTGTTAGTTATTGCGTAAATTGCGTCAATTTTTTTTTTATAAATATTATGACACTCGACCTCTACAAATACACAAATTTAGGCTTTTATTCTGTGTATTTCTTATTTAATTTTAAGGCCCGATTTTTTAAACAGGGATATGTACGGATACGTCCTACGATCATTCATCGTGCACGTGGCCTATAAGAGTTTTTAAAACTGTTTAAAATAAACTTTACTCCTTGACATTTTCCGAAATAGCATCATTTTCAACAAATTTGACGGAAACAGAAAATCGTAAGTGCTTCCGTTCAACAAAAATTTTCTCTTATTTATTATTTCCCATACCTCGTAAACGATACCGTACTGATAAACCAAGATTTGCTTATCGTTTGCCACGACTTCCGTCACTTCATCGCGGAACAGCTAACGAATATCTATAAAATCAATTTATTTTGAATAAAAGATATTGCTGTACAAGAATATATAAAATATCTGTTAACATATAAACGACTATTAGAACCCGAGAATAAAAAACAACTTTTGTACTAATCCGAGTCCGATTCCTCCAGCACCCTTTTCCTGCGGGCCCTGTTCGACTCTCTCAACGGCATCTCAGAGTGATCCTCTTGCCCGGAATCTTCCTCGTCGCTGTTACTGTTGTGTTTCCGTTTAGCCTGCTTTTTAGAACCCTTGCCGTTCTTTTTACGTGCCGTGGGCACCGGTGGAGGTTTCATCATGTTACCGTCTTCATTAACCTCGAACACCGAGTTTATCGTCTTCTCCAGTTCTGCTACCATCGGCTAAGAAAGTAAAAATACATACAAATTCTGCAGATAATATATTTAATTGAGTTTGAAGCTCCGCAGAGGTGCAGAGGCGAGATCATTCATAAATACTAGGAAAATAGGTGGGCCCAGTATCGAACCCTGAGGTACACCCAGAGCAATATCTTGCATTAACCGTGCTAAAAGATTGTCATGAAAACAAACAGTTTTTCTGCTATAAAACTAAAGTCTATACGATCGAAAGCTTGCGATAGATCGAAAAATACTGCTCCAACATATTCATTTTGAACAAAGCGTTTATAAACGAAACTAGTGAAAACAAAAGACGTTGTTTCAGTTGATTTATTTCGGCAGATTTTGTAGTAACTAACTGTTTATATTTATTTTTGTATCTAGAACGCGAAATGGTACCTTCGCGTTCAATAATGGAAGTTACTTTGCCGAGCTTAGTGGGACAAAATATCAATTCGAGAACGCAAAAGTACTTTGCGTTCGATATGTAAACAATACTTTTTCTCGAAAACTGCAATAAAATAAGACAACAAGACAACAATTTCATTTATATTTGAAATCGTTTGAACCTTGTCTGAATCAAGACGGCTTAGGCGCGGTGACTATCATAACGATAGCAACCTAATAAACAAAAAAATTTGTTGTTTGAAAAAGTAGTGTCAGAATTATATATTGCAATTCATATTCTAAGAGTGTTTAATTCGAAATGAGCTCGGAAAGTGAAGACGAGCGTTTACCAGGGGAAGTATTGGAAGCTGCATAAAGTGCTGTTTTAGACCAGCCGGGCTTCTGTTTTGGTGTAGATGTTTTATATAGTATCGCTAATTTTTGCTTTAATGACTCCAAAATGATATAACAAAACATAATTTAAGCATGCGCGCGCCTCAAAACGTGTGCTAAACTTATTATTAAACGAATAGTGAAAAAATTGGAAAAAATTCCATTTTTTTTTCCTCTTTTTTTCAACACAGTTCAAAAACTATTCACTTTAGAGAAAAATTGACGAGGAAATAAAGATTCGTAATTATATTTTACACAAGATACATCTATTTTCAAATAAAAAAAACAACATAATTATTGCAATAGCGAAAACAAAAAAAAGTGAAAAAAATTACAATATTTTTGCGATTTTTTTAAAAGTACTTATATTATACACAGAGCTCGTAAAGTTTGGAATAAATTCGAAAAATCGTTATTGAAGGGTTTTGACAGGAAATCCTCGGACACGCCAACTTTAGTTTATAAAATGTCACTTTTTTCAGCCATCGACTTTTATTTTGTTTCGTTTGTTTTTGATGTATGACGTCATCGGCAATTTTTTTAAATGGCAGCCCATATTTTTTTCCACGGATTTCGATAGAGCACATTTTTCTGAGTACGAATATGTCAAAAACGTATGACCTTCAAGATGGAAGTTTTCGAGATATTCGGTTCCAAAGTTTCAAGAATACATTATACAAGCGATGACAAAATACTAATCATTTATCAAGGAAGCGCTGGAAAAATTACAGTTTTGATAGTTGAAGTTTGTCCTCGCAAGTTTGTGTTTTATTTTAAGTTGATTAATCATTATTCTATCAGAATTCATTTTATTTGAAAATGGTCCGTCGTTTGAGTGAAAGGGAAAGAATCGAAATTTTTATGATCAGTTACGGAGCATGAATATTATGTCAAAAACGTACGACCTTCAAGATGGAAGTTTTCGAGATAATAGACAGTTTAAAACACAAACTTGCGAGAACAAACTTCAACTATCAAAACTGTAATTTTTCCAGCGCTTCCTTGATAAATGATTAGTATTTTGTCATCGCTTGTATAATGCATTCTTGAAACTTTGGAACCGAATATCTCGAAAACTTCCATCTTGAAGGTCATGCGTTTTTGACATATTCGTACTCAGAAAAATGTGCTCTATCGAAATCCGTGGAAAAAAATATGGGTTGCCATTTAAAAAAATTGCCGATGACGTCATAGATCAAAAACAAACAAAACAAAAAAAAAGTCGATTGCTAAAAAAAGTGACATTTTATAAACTAAAGTTGACGTGTCCGAGCATTTCCTGTCAAAACCCTTCAGTAACGATTTTTCGAATTTATTCCAAACTTTACGAGTTCAGTGTATGTAGGATCTTCATACTTGGCCAAAAAAAATCTTTTTGATATAATAAAACATCACCCCAATTTTCGTTAAAATTGGTCCGACAGTTTTCGAGTAATAACTTTGCAATCCAGATTTAAAAAAAAAATGAAATTTTTGCAAATTTAACTGAGCCTAAATTAAGGCTTCCAGACACTTGAAAATTTTATCACATAAAAAAGGGCACTTAAACTTTAAAATGCGTCCAGAAAAATTGAAATCCGTTAATTAGGAGAGCTGTGGTAATTGTTTAAAGATATGCGTAATTTTTGCTTTTATAAACAAATAGAATAACTTTATAAATTCATTATAATTATTTTTTTTAAATTATGCTTTTAATTTGTGAAGACGCTTCTTTAAAAAAAAACGTGGTAATTTGTTAATTGGTTCCAGAGTTATAGTCGATTAAAGTTGACCGGCATTTGTGGCGTAACTACAAAATCTGGAGGGCTGTAGCGAGTACTTTCCAGGAGTGAATTTGCAAAACTTGCGCCCTTGTGCAGCCCATATAAAATGTCGATTAAAACTATTGGACCGAGTATGAAATTCACGAAAAATGTATGGGAGGTAGTGGTGGGGGGGAGTCGAGAGCTCGGCTACTCCGGGCGATTTGAAATTGTAATCGCGAGTTCAAAATAGCGGCGCGCTTAAAAATTTTGATTATCTCGACTTCTAGTGGTTCGATTTTGATGTTTTTTTTTTAAATCGATGTCACGCGAGCTGAAAAGTCCAAATATAGCATTTTCAAATGCGAATTATTGTTGATTATCGACCTATTAACGTATTGATAATTACTGCTTTTTAATTTGCTTTACTTTTCTCGTTTCACGTTTTTTTTTAAAAAGAAGTGTCTTTCCGAACACTTTAAAAGCATAATTTAAAAAAATAATAATTATAATGAATTTATAAAGTTATTTTATTTGTTTATATGCGCAAAAATTNGGTTTTTAAGAAGAAACTCAAAGTTTAATTTAGTTTTGTTAGTAGAAGTAGAAACATAAGTAATTAATAAAAAATACTGAATAAATAGTAAATGTTAATGATGATTGTTAAGTATAATAGCATGTTTATATTTCGCATTGCAATACCAAAATTATGACTTTTTAAGTTTTAGAAATTTCTCGAGAATTCGAGAATTCCCGGGAATTCCTAGTCGAGAATTCTCGAGACCCGAGAAAAAAAATAGACCGAGAAATCAGAAACCCTACTTCTGATAGACTATCGGTACTTTCCTACACTGTAGTATCTCTAATTTTTGCTTTAATGACTCCAAAATAATATAACAAAACATAATTTCACTATGCGCGCTTCAAAACGTATGCTAAACTTATTATTAAACGAATAGTGAAAAAATTGGAAAAAACTCCATTTTTTTTCTCTTTTTTTCAACACAGTTCAAATACTATTCATTTTAGAGAAAAATTGAAGAGGAAATAAAGATTCGTCATTAAATTTTACACAAGATACAACTATTTTCTAATAAAAAAAACAACAATTATTGCAATAGCGAAAACAAAAAAATGTGAAAAAAAATTACAATATTTTTGGGATATTTTTAAAAGTACTTATATTATAGGTAGGATCTTCATACTTGGCCAAAAAAAAATCTTTTTGATATAATAAAACATCACACCAATTTTCGTTAAAATCGGTCCCATAGTTTTCGAGTAATAACTTTGCAATCCAGATTTTCAAAAAAAAATTGAAATTTTTGCAAATTTAACTGAGCCTAAATTAAGGCTTCTAGATACTTGAAAATTTTATCACATAAAAAAGGGCACTCAAAGTTTAAAATGCGTCCAGAAAAATTGAAATCAGTTAATTAGGAGAGCCGTGGTAATTGTTTAAAGATATGCGTAATTTTTGCGTTTATAAACAAATAGAATAACTTTATAAATTCATTATAATTATTTTTTTTAAATTATGCTTTTAAAGTATTTGGGAAGACGCTTCTTTAAAAAAAAAACGTGGTAATTCGTTAATTGGTTCCAGGTTATAGTCGATTAAAGTTGACCGGCATTTGTGGCGTAACTATGAGGTCTGGAGGGCTGTTTTTTAAATAAATACCTTTGTCATTCCGAGTACTTTCCGGGAGTGAATGTGCAAAACTTGCGCCCTTGTGCAACCCATATAAAATGTCGATTAAAACTATTGGACCGAGCATGAAATTCACGAAAAATGTATGGGAGGTAGTGGTGGGGGGAGTCGAGAGCTCGGCTACTCCTGCTGACTCAAAATTGAAATCGCACGTTCAAAATAGTGGCGCGCTTAAAAATTTTGATTATCTCGACTTCTAGTGGTTCGATTTTGATGTTTTTTTTTAAATCGATGTCACGCGAGCTGAAAAGTCCAAATATCGCATTTTCAATGCGAATTATTGTTGATTATCGACCTATTAACGTATTGATAATTACTGCTTTTTAATTTGCTTTACTTTTCTCGTTTCACATTTTTTTTTAAAAAAGAAGTGTCTTTCCGAACACTTTAAAAGCATAATTTAAAAAAATAATAATTATAATGAATTTATAAAGTTATTCTATTTGTTTATATGTGCAAAAATTGCGCATATCTTTAAAGAATTACCATGGCTCTCCTAATTAACGGATTTCAATTGTTCTGGACGCATTTTAAAGTTTGAGTGCCCTTTTTTATGTGGTAAAATTTTCAAGTATCTAGAAGTCTTAATTTAGGCTTAGTTAAATTTACAAAAATTTCAATTTTTTTTTAAAAATCTGGATTGCAAAATTATTATTCGAAAACTATCGGACCGATTTTAACGAAAATTGATGTGATGTTTTATCATATCAATAAGATTTTTTCTGGCCAAGTATGAAGATCCTACCTATAATAAGTACTTTTAAAAAAAT